CTCTTTGTTTTTGTTTAAATATCCTTTTGACCTGAGCTGTGTATTTTTTGTAATCAACAAAATTTTCGTAACTTGCTCGCCGCTTATAATTACCAAGAGCTTCCTTTCGTTTTTCAAATATATGTGTGCATTCCTCGTCCCACCAAACTGGTTGAGCACTGGAATGGATAAAAGGTTTTTTCAAAGGGATTGTAATATCTGCCGCATCTGAAATTAACTTTATTAGTTTATCGAACCTATCGGTGTTTGATATACTGTCTAGATCTGATATGCCAGTTAGCTTCGTTTCTAGCGTATTTTGAAAAAGTGTCCAATCCCCGCGTTTTTCGTTCCATCGACTGTATGGTAAGAATTCAAAAAGTTGGCTTGGTGCTGATTGAATTGTTATTTTGATTGGAAAGTGGTCTGATCCCATAGTGTCCGGCAAAACATCCCATCTGATGATGGCGAGGATAATGTTAAATCTACAGCTGAAAATGGATTATTATAATGAGGGCTGACTATTCAGGTAGGACTACCATCATTAAGAATTACTAAGTTATGACTTTCCATGGCTTCCACCAAAATCCTGCCTTGCGAATCATCTTCAGCGTAGCCCCAAAGTCTATGGTGTGCATTAAAATCCCCACAAAAGCCGGTAGGGCCATTGAATTGACCAAAAAAAGTGCACCAATCTCTTTCAGACACACGAATGTCTGGTGGTTTGTAAATAGACACAATATTAACTTCCCCATCATTAATAGAAACTGCACAAGCCTCTATACCTGGGTTAAAGTTATTGCGTAAATGAATTACTGTATGAATTAAATCCTGTTTAATGAAAATACCTACACCACCTGACCGACTATTTCGACATTTTTTCACAAAATTATATCCTTTTAAGCTGAAATTATGTGAATCTTTTAGCCATAACTCGGAAATAACTACTACATGTATGTTATTATTGTTCAAGAAGTACTGAAGGCTTGCTTTATTGGCAACAATCGATCGTGCACTCCATTGTAAAATATGTATATCACTGTTTAGATCTTTTTAAGGTGGAATTTCAAATTAAATTACACACCGACATTGCCAACTTTTCTCCCTTAAGAGGTTGGTGTAATTACGAATTAGGTATGACGTTTCGTCTCTTGTGTTTAATAATCATATTTTTTTTCTTTCTTGGCCTTTGTACATGTGAGTACAGTTTTTAATTCTGATTCCAAGAATGTGTAATAGATCCAGCGTTGCTGAATCGAAAAAGATGAAATTGGTAGATAGGGCCATTGAAATTCGGTAGATTCAAAGACAAAATCAGTAGGAGAAAAAAAAAATCAAGGCTGTCAGCAAGGCCAGCGGTGGTTCAAACGCATTTGCGACATGCAGCGAAGTTTATGAAAAAAAAGTATATTTTTATACGCGCACACACAATAACAGTTTCTTTGAGGCCACCTTTTCCTGAAACATTGTTGACTTCTTTTTTACAACAACACAATGAGCATACTGGTCGCTCTTCAAACTCCTTTGCAACCATCCTGGAAACCCTTTTCTCCGTTCTTGGTTGTAAGATTGTGAATATTTATGTTTTACCTCTGAACCTTATGCTTCGTCACCTGACATTAATTTGTATTTAATATTCAATAAAAATCATGCAACCTTTGCTTTCCTTATTGCTCGTCCAGTGATACGGTGATGATGATGGTTGTATACCAGTCTGCACCTGTTGTACGTACAAAAACCAATACAGGAATAGTAGAGTAAAACATGTTCGTAAATAATTATAGGCAACCCTACGTTCCTCGTGTGCCCGACTAAGAGTACGCTTTTGTATGATTAGTCTGGGGCATCAAACTACATATAAATCATTTTTTAGCTCTATTTTTGGTTCCAGCTCTTTTTCGGTAAAAACATCCTGGAAATATCTGAATTATTTTATAAAATCGTGGAAAATGAGGACGTTTTCGGTATTTCGGTAAATAAGGTCCCATTTAGGTAGAAATACCGAAAAATCGGTAGTTTCGGCATATCATACAATGACATTAGCAAACCCTAGTTATTTAAAAAAACTAGTATATTTTCATAGTTGACATTAAAAATGACGTGCTTAAAGCACATTCAGGTGATTTGCCCGTTTATCGACAAGCGTTATTTTAGCACGAGGCGACTACATGACACCTTAGCCTTCGATTAATATTTTATTTACGATGCAAGCTGTGGCTCGGTTTAGATATAACAAATATGAAATGTGCTCAACAACCTGTAGCACCGTCACGGCCTTTATCTACTCTAAGATACGGTTTCCAATGTTTTTCATTACTATCTTTAAAGAATATTAAAAAGTTAGATTTTAGTTAGATTACTTTTTTAGATATTTGAAGTTTTATAATATCAATCCCATCTTAAAAATCGGAAATAAGGACTGTTTACCTATACTAACTGCCATAAAGAGTGATAGGATGCTTGGCTGAGGATATTATAAAACAAACGACTATCCGATATTTTCAATGACTTGAGACAAAACAGCAGATCGAAATTTTAATCATGCCACCTTTGTAGCAAATAAAAGTTGGTTGTATGTTAATGTACAATTTCATTTGAAGTCTTAGCTCAAATGAAACCAGGCAAAGTGAAAACAATTTTGAGGAAATCGGTAAATACTCTGAAGTGCGAAACTTCTATAAGTGCCATTTTCTAGTACCAGTGATGGGAGACGAAATTAAAACACCGAGAATGCAAAAACAAAAAGTATTTGGAGCATCGGAATACTTAATCGCTCTATTATCAGTACTGACTGAAGAAAAATGTGAGGCTATGTTTTCTTTTTTAATCTTAAGACATTTCAGGCTGATAAAACAATTCAAAGACATTTCACAGCCTGAAAGGCGATAGGCTGATAAGAGCCATTTTTCGCCCATGAACAAAGAAATTCGTGGTATACATAAATTAAATAATTATCTAGCTGTTATATATGTTTATTAAACAATAATAAAAGATAATCAGTTTTCATACACTTAATATATTTTTTACTAATCTTCTTCTTTGCCTTCTTCATTCGAATCACTATCAGAACCACCTATACCTTTACTACAAAAATACCTTTCGAGTACGAAAAATCTTGCCTGAACACGCAGCGATTGCAATAATCATATACAAGATTATAATAAGTAGACTCATTGAACATTAAAGTTAATGTGGTTCATTAAATGCTTCGTAGGGAAAACATGATTCAATATCGAAAAACAACAAAAATGCACAAAAAGCGCTAAATACTCTATTTCTTGGCAATACTTTCTGAAGCATATTACAATATTCATACCGTAAATATTATATAATGGAAAAATACACGTCTTGAAGTTCACAAATAAATTCAATAACAGTCTAAAATCAAACTTTTCATTTTTGAGTGTGTTATGGGCGAAAAATGGTACTTATCAACCCACCTCCTTTGTTAGAATTCAAAAAGAGAACATATCCTCAAAATAGAGCGCTGGTACAAAGCAGTAGAAATCTAGAATTTTTTTTCCGAAGCATAGGAAAAACTGTGAAAATCAACGAGGCCATAAAGGCGTCCTACAATTGCATGAACGACTGACGATAGGGCACTTGGTGCTGCCCGTCCAGAAACTTGTCATTTGGTAAAACAGAAGACGGAATTCGAGTCACAGGTCAGGTCTAGCAACAAGGCGAGCATATTAAATGTACAGGGTTTGTCCGGAAAGTAATAGGACTGAGTCGATTTAAAAAAAAATATTGAGCCAATCGTTACAATTCATTAAAAAGTTTCAAAATAGGCTCCTTCTGCGTCGATGCAGCGCTGCCAGCGCGATTTCCAAGCATTGAAGGCGTCACGGAAGGCATTCTCCGGAATAGCCTTGAGAGCCGCGGTGCATGCTGCTTGGACCCCCTCTGTCGTCTCAAAATACTTGCCTTTCATTGGCCTTTTTAGGCGAGGAAACAAAAAATAGGCCCGGGGGGGCCACATCTGGGCTGTAGGGCGGCTGCGGAGGCGTTGGGATGCCGGCCTTGGTCAGGTACCTGTTCACAAGAAAGGCGGTGTGAGCCGGGGCGTTGTCGTGGTGCAACTTCCAGTCGGCTGCGATGTCTTGTTGGACCCGACTGACCCTTCGTTTGAGTCTCCTGAGCACTTCCACATAAAACTTGGCGTTGACGGTTTGTCCAGGAGGAACAAATTCATGGTGGACGATGCCTTTGATGTCAAAAAAGATAATGAGCATCGTTTTCACCTTGGATTTTCTCATTCTTCCTTTTTTGGGCGAGGAGACGCCGTCGTGTGCCACTCGGAAGATTGCCTCTTTGTCTCGGGATCATACTCAAAGATCCACGACTCGTCACCTGTGATTACGTTATTCAAAAATTGGGGGTCACTTTCACTCATGTTCAAATTTTCTTGGCACACTTCCACTCAGTGAGCACTTTTGGGACCATCGTCGCGCACACCTTGCGCATGTTCAAATGCTGTGTCACAATGTCATGAACCACAGATTTTGGTAAATTTAACTGGGCAATTAAACGAATACTTAGTCGACGGTCTGAGTTCAAAACTTTACGCACACGAGTTACATTATTGGTGTTTGTCGAAGTCAAAAGTCTTCCAGCACGCTCTTCATCAGCGACCTCTTCCTGGCCCTCCAAAATGGCCTGGTGCCACCGAAACACACCACTTCTTGCTAAAGCAACACCTGGGTAAGCCTGCTTGATCATATCAAACGTCTCTGTCGCAGATTTACCGAGTTTCACACTAGATTTAATCGCGTACCTCTGCTCTAACGAACGCTGCATTTTCGGCTTGCACCACTCAGAGAAACACGTCGCGTGAAAATGCCTGTCCTGACTCTCCAAGTTCTCGGAGACAACTGACCAGCCGCTCATTCGTTAGCTAGGAACGCCCTCTACCGAATCCAGGCGGTGCGTGCACGCTCCGAAGTACAGTCATGACGGAAGAAAATGAGTCCTATTACTTTCCGGACAAACCCTGTAAGATATACTACAAGATCCTTTACCTGTGTTCGTTGCCTTGTGTCCTTGATAGCCTTGATCATGTGCAATCCCATCTCTACGCAGCAGTGTGCATGATCCGATCTTGGAGTTGGTAACCCTGACACGCAGTAATAGCAGTCCCCGAGGAGTTTTATTCGCAAACAGTAATTTTCCTGGAAAAAAATGGAGACATGTATACTGGCTCTGTAGCTTTCACACGTTTACTATTTTTATAGTGTCTATTACGATATTCTATTTCCAAAGCTTTCATATTTCAACGGAATATCGGTATTTTGCCTATAAAAGGTATATGCTCAGTATTTTCAACGTTTACCAGTAGACGGCTTATGGAGTAATACAGTGTGTTGATACTATGGGGTCAAAGTGCTCAAAGATGGCCTAGGATTCGTCTCCCCACCACTACTATTATGGCTTCCAGGAATGACTGAAATATCTAGGTAAAACCTCAAAAAGTCGGGACGTTGTGATTATAGTCGGGACAAATAAATGTTATCAATGAAAAACCTATTTTTTATTATTAAAATTAAATTTATTACAAAAAATATTTTTTTGCATCTTTTGGGGTTACAGATGGAACATATGAAATCAAAATATCGGAACTAAAATATACTTATTTTCTACTTTGCCACAAGTATTTGGTATTTGAGTTCACCGATTCCACCAATTTGGTGCCCAATGGAGTATTCAAAGGAGTTTTAAAAATTAAGCAACTTTCACTAAAGTTGAATCTTATTAGTTGTTCGATACACAAGCTCTCGATATTTGATATACAAGTTATCTAATAAACTGAAAACCCTTTCACAAAAAGCATTGCTTATTGGGACGGATAAGACAAACTATAATTTTTTTTTAAATGTTGACCTTATTTTGGTCATATTAAAAGATATGACCATATTTAATTACTACACATTTAGAATATACATACTTAAATATTTCTTTGAGCCAACGGTAATACAGAATACAAAGAATCGCATAGTTTTAGATTTTCGTAATTTTAAATTTGCGGTTTCTTATTTGTCGGGAAAATTCGTATTTTGCCGGGATTCTGGACATGATATGAAATCTAACTATGGGCGGCTTGTCTTGACTACTTTTTCCATTTTATCGTCACATTTTTCAGTTGATAGACCACGGCGAAAATGGAAAGTTGCGACATTTGAAAAAACTATTAATTTATGGCGGGCACTTTATAAAAATGTAAGCACAACCTAGCTGCCTTCTAGTTACTCCTAGCACAAAATTTATGTGTCCAACGTATCTTTTTTCCAATCGAAACTGCATGATCTTTGGAAAATAAATTTGAATTCCAAACAAAAATTGTTACATCAGATATAAGACCGTCAAGTCCCCAACTCACTCATCTAGATTAAAGGATTGTGCGAGTTGCGTGTACGCATTTTCTGAATGATTAATTTTGAAGCATCTGTTATGAAGCTGATCCAGTCATACGCAATATCAAGCTTAATTTCCGAGCAATCAATAATTTTAATGTCCCTTCAATTTTCAGTCGCCCATTCGGCGACGTTTAGTTTGATTATGAATCAATGATAATTATCTATGATGCATCCATGATTTGATTTCGACGCTAATTCTATGACTAGCATGCAGCGGAAACTTAATTCGGTTGCAATACAAGGAATGATCGATATTTCTCTATGAACGCTGTGATCAGTTCGAAAAGGATTATGCTCGGTAAAAATTAGACTAGTTAAGAATTAAAATCGTTAAGCAATCAAGCTAAATTCTTAGCAATATTGAATAAATATTTATAAGTATTGCAATAACAATTGTAAAATGGCTAAAAATTTGTCAGAATGAGGGTATCGTTGGTGTTAATAAGTGTGCTGAATTTCATCCCAGAGATGAATTATTTAAACAAGATATGGTCCTAGAACATTTCACAAAAGTGGAATAGATTCTTGAAGGTTTGAAGTTCAAGAATGTATGTAACAAATTAATTATTGATTCCAAAATTGTTCTTAGAGATGATGTTAAAAAAATAGCTACATTTACAGTAACATCGTTATTTTTCAATATAATTTATTTTAACAAGTTGATCTGGACAGGTATTTAAAAACGCATATTTATACCTTACGACCAATATGAGCCAAGATATTTTTTTTAGAAAAAATCGTATCTCTTTTGTTCATAAACATCAGGACTCAAAATTGTCACAGATTTCAGTCAAGGATCTTAATTTTGTGAGGACTTCAAGAAATAGCCACCTAAAGTGAAGCTACTCGTGTAAGTATTTCCGGGTGAGGCGGTGGGGGGAACAAATGGAGCGCGCTGTAAAATTTTTCATTATCTCGGCTTCTAAGCAACTTAGAACCTTCTTTTTTTAATTTAGGGTAGCTCGTGGAAATAACGATATTTGGCACATTTTCATTTTTCTAGAAGATCTGGAAATTCTGGAAAAATTCTTCAAAATTAAATTACTATGAAACAATAAATCACTTACTTACTATACATTAAAATTAAATTAATCAAACTGAATTTAGATTTAAATTATATGTGGTGTTTTTTCTGCTTTTACATATTTTACTCTCCTCTAAAAAGTGTTCACCCTTTTTAATTATTTATACTTCGATGTTACTATTTTAATGGTTATTTTCCATAGAGTAAACCTGTAATGGTTATTTTCGTTACAATTGAATTTGAATCTTTTCTGGAGGGAATTGAAATTAAATGTCTTGTTTATTTTACATTGAATATTTTAAATTTTGAGAAGATGGTCAATCGTCAGATTTTGAAGATGCTGCTGTTTGGATAATTTGTGATAGAGACATAGAGAAACAGAAAAAAACATGAATTTAAAGATATGGGAATTCAGAGATTTATTGAATGCAGTAAAACACGAAAAGACAATAAGCATATCAAAATGAAAGACTTATCGTCAATGGTTATTCACCATAATTGTTATTGTACATATAACTGAGAGAGAGAGCAGTATTCTTAAAGCAAAAAACAAGCATAGGAAATATCAAGTAACACCATAAAGGAATACCCCAAATATCGTGGTTTTGATTTTTCTAACTTGTTTTATTTGTGAGAAAACAGCTAAAACTCAATGAGATGGAACTCGTATTCTTGAAAACATTGAAGAGAAGAAATATAATAGAGACAGCTGAACTTTAGTTTAGTACATTGAAAAATAACAATTGTTTAAATGATTTGTCTCTGGGATAAACAATTCGCATTTTACATAAACTATTAAGTCGATCAATCTCACAAATGTTTAATCATTTACAATTGTTATTGCAATATTCATTCAATATTGTTAAAAAGCCCCGCATTTAGGTTAATTGTTTATCGACTTTAATTTTCAAAAAATAAAATGAAGGTCTTTTTTATGCTCTGAAATCTCGAGTTTACGTATTATTTATGAAATTTAATTTAAAAATTATATAAGCAAAATACCGAATTTTAAGCTTTTCCATTGTTTATAAAAACAACGCATATCTAGCTATGTGTTTTTTGTATCTGTATTTGTCAGTAGAATTAAAACTTTCAGGAGTCTGCTAAACTATTTTACACGAAATATCTATTTTTTCTCTGCAGCCTCTGAGAAAAGACTTATACTAAGTGACATATAAATCCGAACACCCAGTTTAAATGGTTTTATTTTAATAAAATTTTGTATAAGTACTTAATGAAGCATAATAAGTAAATGATAAAAATTTCAAAATGATTGCACTGCTTTAAAGCCCTTTGACCTTTAATAATGTGTGGATGCACCCTGATGTGCTACGCATTCTCCAACGCGCCTAGGCATGCTTCTGATCAGGTGGTCAATGTCTTCCTGTGGTATCTCATTCCAAGCAACCACCAACTCCTCTCGAAGTGCTTCTAGAGTCTGAGGAGGACGTTGCAAATTGAGCAATCTCCTACCCATCATATCCCACACGTGCTCAATTGGGGATAAGTCGGGAGATCTTGGTGGCCATGGTAACAATGTGACATCATTATGTTGATAGAAGTCTATTGTGACTCTTGCAACATGTGGTCGGGCATTATCTTGTTGGAAAGTTGGATCTGCCAGGGTGTCAAGATAGGGTAAAAAATGGGGTTCTAGAACTTCGTGGATATAACGCTGCGCATTTATGTTACCTCTGATGAAGACTAAAGGTGACCTGGAACCATAAGCTATAGCACCCCAAACCATAACTCCAACAGTGTGATGAACATGTCTTTCAACAAAAAACTGTGGATTCCTCCTTTCACCACGTCGCCTTCTAACCCTGGCACGACCATCGTGCATGCCTAAACAAAATCGAGACTCGTCACTAAAGACAATACTGTTGCATTCCTGATCCCAGAGTGACCGTTGTCTGCACCACTCAAGGCGATTACGTCGGTGTTCTCGAGTTAAAGGGAGGACCCAGTGTGGCCGGTATGAAAACAAGCCAAAACTTCTCATTCGTCGGTAAACACTTCGCATGCCAATAGGTCTTCCGTGTTCTGCAAACCATTCATTTGCAATGGACCTGATAGTGGAGAAACGGTCCCTTAAGGCCAATAATCTTATGCGGCGATCTTCACGGTCTGTTGTTCTACGGCGGCGTCCAGTGCCCCTTGCTCTTTGCGTACGGCCTTCTCGAAGCCATGCCTGACAACACCTAACCACAGTGTCTACACTTCTTTGCACTCTAACTGCAATTGTACCGAAAAGAAAGTCCAGCTTCCCGAAGTCCCACTATACGGCCCCTATCAAACTCACTAAGTTGACGAAATCGTACAGGTCTCCGTACTCTAGGCATCGTAACCGATCGTAAAGGATGTCAAGGACCAAAATCCGCCAACGTTGATTCTTTACTGCAGCTGAAATATTCATTTTTGAAGCGTTAGTGAATTAAAAAAAAGCAGTATAAAAACCGGAATGTCCAACTGATAAGGCTGAAAATTTTTTCACTTGTTATTTACAGTAAGATAAATACATTCACCAACTTTTATTAAAATAAAACCATTTAAACTGGGTGTTCGGATTTATATGTCACTTAGTATAGTTATGAATATGAAAAATGGAAGTTAAACCGATCAAGTCAGTTAAACAAGGCTATATTTTCCCTGCCCTACCGGTAGTTACAGTCCATCTGGCAACGTTGCCTTTTTCCACATTGCGCGGCATCGCTGCAGCCAGTGTATGTTTTTTGCGCTGCAGTTTGGACAGTTAAGTTACTCGGACTGGGTCGCCGGGCGGTGAGCTTGGATGGAAAGAGTATGCAGATGGAAAACATTTTTGTACTAGTCAGGTTTCAAAGGCAACTGTACGAGGAAATCTGTGCCTGGGAGCGTATAAATATACTACCCCCCCCCCATGCATTTTAATTTAAGGAACTGGTGTAACATATTGGCTACGCGGCAATGTCAGTGTTGCTAGGCAACGCGGTAATGAGCTTCGCTACCCTGTCGGCTTCTATCTTTTTCTAACGCATGTGTCTATACACACTTCTCTATCGTATACATTGAACTCAAGCCGTGCGAAAAATTTGGTTTTCAGTGTATAACAGGAACGTTCTATATTATTTTTCCATGTACTTTCTGTCAGTTTAGCTACTGTTTTTTATTCGCCCTATATATGAGAATATGAGAAATTGAACCACTGAAACGTCTCTTAATTTTGGGTACGTGAAAAACAGAACGTAAGAATCGATTCCTTCAAGCAACATCAATAAATCAAAGTCTGGAATGTTGACCATAATTCAAAATCTGAAACATACCTGAGCAAGTCTGTCGAATCTGGCGAACAGTTCGTTCAGAATCTTCACCAGCTCTTGAGCTGTACACTTGCTTGCCAAAGCTGTAACAAGAATGCAGTTAATCATCGAATACAAAGGGCGGAAACATAAAAGTTCAATATTAGGAAGTAAAACAAGCATTAAATCTACTTAGTTGCAGAAATTGGAACGTTACCTAGTGCCATTATATGAATTGAAATCTATTCACCTTGATAGTGGAACCGTAGCAATAATACGTTTTTCTCAACTATTAAGATTGGATTTTATTCTCCAAAAAGTCAACGAAAGTAGAAACTCCGATAAAACGAATTTCAATAGTTCTGTAAGGTTTATTATGTATTTTTATATAGGTTAATTATATACCATATACTACAAAAGCAAATAAAAGTTCAAAGCCTGTATCTTGAACCAAAACATTACTGGCTCATATGCCCTTTTTGTTCTTAGAATTATCTGAAAAATCATCCCTCTCTATAGGTTAGTGATATACTTTATGAATAACTTGTATATGCAAATTGATGAATAAATAAATAGATAAAAATGGTTAATGAAATGATGATACAAGATGAATAGCTAGTTCAAAAACATTTTTGTCGCAATAGTTGGATAAAGGTACAATAAAAACTTAAGTATTTTTATTTATACATGGTGTAAACGTTATGGTAGTCATTATTGAAATGGGTAATAGCCCCCCTATTAAATCAAAAGGTTCATATGACCAATGGTCCAAAAGTCAATAGATTTTTGTCTAAATGGCTTTATAGTTTACAACTTTAAGTGCTTTATATCGACCACAATCACCACAATCTTACTAATTTTTATAATACAATCTAAAACGTTTTTAAATTGGGTAATTACCAAATAAATGGCATTAAGTTTTTCTAAGTTAAGCCAAAGTTTGTAGTCAGTAAGTAAGTTTCATTAAATTAAATATTTAAAATACACATGACAACAGCGCGTCGGTCGTCATCACCCTTATCGAACCGGCAATCGATCGCAAACGGTAACGATGGTTAGTATGTTGTTTTGTTTCATTTCGCGTACGTCGTCGTGTTGATTTAAAATGTTCTCGAATCACGAGTTCGCCGACATGTTGTTAGTTTAATCTTGCAGCTCAAATTTACCCAGACATTTGTGCAAGTGTACCAAAGACTTCGAGATACACTCGTGAAAGACAGGTTACTGTAGAGCAGGAGGAACAAATTTTAAATATCGTGGAAATCAATGCATATATCAGCACTCGGGAATGAGGCCGCCGCGTAGGACTATCGCAAACCGTAGTCTATAGAATCCTACGGGAAAATTTGCTTTATCCCTACCATGTACAACGAGTGCAGGCCTTGTTACCAGAAGACTATCCTCGCAGACTAACATTCTGTCAGTGGTTTTTGCACAAAAACATTGAAAATCTGGATTTTTTTAAAAGCATTCTAGCAACGGACGAATGTACTTTTCCGCGAGACGGGATATTAAATTTCCGTAATACTCACACGTGGCCCCAAGAAAATCCTCATACCATTCGTGAAGGTCATTTCCAACAACGTTTTAAAATAAATATTGGGGCGGGTATTCTTGACGATCAGGTAATTGGCCCTTTCGAGTTACCCCCAAAGTTGTCAGGAGAAGGATACCTTAGCTTTCTAGCCAATAACCTACCAGAACTTTTGGAACAGACCTTAGACAACATGCCATTACAACGGAGACAGAATTTGTGGTTTCTTCATGACGGGGCACCACCACACATTTTTAGAGACGTCATTGAGTATTTGAATGAACATTATCCAAATCGCTGGATCGGTCGAAATGCTCCTGACCCTCAAAATGGCCAGCAAGATCTCCTGACCTCAATCCGATGGATTTCTGGTATTGGGGAGAACTTAAAGGGATGGTTTATGGGGCTGGTCCAATAACAACTGAAGCACAACTTCGCAAAAAAAATTTTAATGCGGCTGAAATAATAAATGGACAACTTCAAGGACCAAGAGTAAGAAGAAACTGGGTTCGTCGTAATGAAGCTTGTGTGGAAAGTGGAGGACGACATTATGAACACATTCTTTAAATACAAAAAAAGTGTAGTGTGGGTTTTAAAAAGAAAAACAATGTACAGGTATGTATCCAAATTGTGTTCCCTATTTATAAGTGGATTTCTTTAATACGTTCAATAAACTTTCACACACCAGGTGAAGCGCTGAGACAGTTAGTGGTAAGTCCGTTTTTTTAATTGTTTGCATTTTACGAGTACATTATCAAATAATGAAATAATACCTAAGAGCCAAAAATAACAAACTCCATCTTTATTTACACTGCGTTCCGTCGTAATTTGCGTCTGGCATTGCGGCGTTGTCAGATTTTATTTTACTTTAAAGTCGCTTTTCTCAAAAAAAAAAATGCCGTTTTGACCCCCATGTTATATGAAACTTTTTGCTTTTTTTAACCTCCTCTATCACCCATTTAAATAATGACTATCATAACGTTTACACCCTGTATGTTGCGGTTATCGTTATATATTTAGATATTTTATAGCCAATCCAAAAAATTCTTGAAAACGCCTAAACAGCCAGTTCCATTATAAAGTGAACGTTCACTTCTTTGAGTTATCTTACTTACATCCTTTGATGGCAACAAATACAGACCATATTAAAATATCGATACACTTTATTATACCAGATTTCATGTAACATCCAAACATTATCCTGAAGTTGTTTCGCTGATCAATCTCCATGTTCTACTAGGCGCCAAATATAATCACAGATATACAGTTGAAGATTCCCTAACGTTTCGGTTACTTGTACGTTGAAAAAGGCCACTGAGTCATCCGGAACGTTAGTAAATCTTCAACCCTACATTTTATTTGGCGATCAATGGAATATAGAGATTCACTGGCTTCTTCTTAACATAAAATACGATTTTTCAGATGAAATATATATCTTTTTACATATTATTTTTTTGTTGAATTTTAAAACATCCTAACGGCGTCTAGATATTTCTAAGACATTCGTTGTTTATTGCCATTGATTAATTCATTCTGTAACGGTTTCACCGTCCGATTGTATTTATTAAATCACTTCTCGATTTTCACTTCAGAATCGCAACTCATTAATCCCATCTCTAGCTTTTTCACTTGGAAGGATTTCCGCTTGGAGCGCGCTTGATGCGGTGTTCCTGATCTGTGATCTTCCTCGCTCTTCCCTTTTCACTTCAACCGCCGATCCAACAACAGCTGAGAATTTTGTTCTCTGTAGCATGAGGTCATATAGCACCATGGTGAGTTTTATAATACTATACAGTTTTATTGCTGGATCTGCCCGTAGTTTATAGATAATCGATATGTAAGTGGTTTATTTCTTGTACGATTTTAGAATATCCATCGAACGTCATTTTCGACTACTTCGATCATTCGCCATAACTTTAATCAAATCGAGGTAGAAATCGATCCACATCGATTTTACCTCTGTGTGCGTATATACAGGGTGACTTTGAAGTCGAGTCATTAATTTTCAGATAATGATTGTAGAAGGAAGATAAACCAAAATATGTGTGTAAAAATAAAAAAAATGTTACCTTGTTTTATAAAGTATCCTCCCGACAAGTATTTCAGTGCGGACCTGTATTTGATCGTGCGGTCTTGGAGCACCGGCATGCCCTCCCCTGTGAGGTCTTAAGTCACCTGATTCGCGAGCCCTTTGTAATACATTAACAAAGGCACGAGGGGCTGGTTGCACTCGATTGGGAAACCGATTCGCAATAAATCCGTGATGCCGCGTAAATAAGAATCATGTCCACAAGTTCAGCATTTTCGTAAACATGTGCCATTTTTGATTTCGTTTGAGCCACGCAACAGACACCACTCTTCACTCACGCGTTACCGACTGACACTGACTGTATACAACTGAATAAAATAATTGTAAAAACATCGTTCCAAATTCTTTCGCTTTTTTGTTTCCGATGCGATGAACCGATAAGGCGGATTATATCCGTTGTTGCCAAACACGAGCACATAATATTATTATTGAGACAGGGCGGTACTCAAACTTCCAAAGGGCTATAACTTTGTTACTTTAATTTTACCAGAAAAATGGTAAAGGAAAAAACATTTCTTTTGATCAGATCTACTCACTGTTAAAATAAATGACTCAACTTCGAAGTAACCCTGTATATTCATAGTTCAGTGAAATTATGAGTACGTTGATTATGAATATTCGATATTTGTGTTTTTATATCAGAAGCATGTGGAGAAATTATTGATGACCACCATCTTGTTTTACGCTTTTTTTTGCTATTTCATGATTTTATTTTATGAAAGGCATTTCCAATTTTCGGTTTGATTTTATCAAACTATGTAATGTAATTCTAACCTAGAAAATCGTTGGGTCTTTTTTGAGGCAGACTGAGATTGGAAATGCCTTGGCCATTAGGGCACGTTGCTAATGCACACGGTTCTTTTCCAGATTGTGCCATCCCCTTTCCCTTTGCCTTTGTCTTTGACTTTTGCCTTTGTCTTTGGCTTTGCCTTTGTCTTTGACTTTGCATTGCTTGGCCTATCCCTTCACCCATGCATGTGCCTTGGCTGCGCCATCACTTACAGCTTCATGATGATGAAGATCACGTTTAAGTTCAACTTCACTGCATCCTTCGCCTACAACTAGTTTTGAAGCCACTAAATGTGAGGTCACCCCTCATAACTGGGACCTCCACTTGAAGCCCTTGGCCATCCTCGCTTCAGTCCAGTCAAAATGGACCAGCTTAGCGAAAGATAAGTTGATAATTTTGTAACAGCGCCAAAGATTTGAAACTTTTATTTTGTTCTTTAAAATTGTAATGTAATGAAAATGCTTTTCTAGTTAAATAAAATCTGTTAAATTTTTGTGTTCTGTTTGTTCTTCTATCCTCTAGCCATGCCATGGTCGACACACAGCTACACGCCTGTAGATGTCTTCATGCCACCGACTGAGCTACCGGAAGCTAATGGTAACCCCCTTTCTGTGATTGTGCAGAAAAGTTGGAATCTTCATTGCATTCCACCTTTTCTGGACTTTTTGCGGAAAGGAAGGATTACAATTCTACCTATAACTTTACCTAGACTAGGTTAATCAATGGTACTGTTGAGAGAATAAACATACGAGTATTTTGTACAGCTTCCATATACGTCAACTTAAAAGTACGAATACCCTATAAAAGTTTAACATAATTTGTTTTGCTAGAATTGTATTCAGTACTTACCGGTAAAACCTTTGATATCAGCAAACAATATGCTAACATTCTCATATCTGTGGATGTAAATCTTGTGGAACTGATGGACTTGGAAAGCGCCACCTTTTTCTTCTCTTTCTATATCTTTGATCATTTCCCTTGCCACAAAGTCGGGTAAAACTAGAAATGAATACTAAGCTATATAAGGTCATTGATCACGATTTTAATTCAGCGGATTTTGCACCTAAACAAAATAAACTTAACATAGAATCTCACTTATCTGAGGTTATGTTAATAATGCAGTTGGTGTAAGGAGTTAAATAAGTCTTAGCCCATCTAAGCTGAGTTTTGGTGAAAAGTGCAATACGCTGAACAAATTAGTAGTGAGCGTATCTGGGTTGTGTATAATACGAACGCAACTCACACGTGGAAACAATCGTTTAAATATCACATTAATCACTCTCGCAAAATAATATGATGTAATGAAAGTAGGATATGAAATTCTGAATAAAATTAAATGCTGAAATAATTATTTAACCAGGATTAAATACTCTGGGGAAACGGACCCTATGGCAATAACATTATTAATGAAAATTTATATGTGAACTTTCCTCTGCTTGTGTTATTTTATGAATTTAAATTCATACAAAAGGCAAATAAAATACGCTTGTATACATGCAATTCAAACACGTGCTTGGAAATGTTACAATGTTAGCGTTTTGTGATGAGATGCGATACATTTTAGGATTTTCATTTATTTTTTCCGCTCCAAGTAGAGATTACTCTGATTATGCGCGTGTACGGTCAATATTGCATTTTAGTTTCAACGAATATTATTTTCTGAGAGTCACCACACACGATAATAATAATGTTTATTAAAGAAGTTCAATCTCAATAAACAGACGGAAAATGCCTGGAAGGTTTGCGCATGGCCAATTAAATTACAAAATAATACAAAAATGTAGTATAGTAACAGGTCACGTATGATAGATTGAGGTCGGTATATGAGGGTGGTCTGCAAAGTTTCCAACCTAACAAAGATACAAGACATTTTTTCTCATTTTTTTTTATTTTCAACAGAGTCTAATTGTAACCCTACGCACTTCTTCCAGCGACGTTCCCATCTCTGTAACCCGTGCACGAAGATGATCGCCTCTTCATTTGACGAAAATCTCTTATCTCCGAGCGCAATTTTCAGCTGAGGGAACAAAAATAAGTCGCTTGGGGCTAGATCTGGTGAGTGAGGCGGATGGTCAAGCAGTTCAAACCGTATTTCGTGGATTTTCGCAATGGCAACCGCTGAGGTGTAACACTGCGTTGTCTCGGTGAAACAGGATTTTCTTTTTCTGTAAATGTGCGTAGTATGGGGCAGTTCAAGTATTACGTGAGCACTATGGGGGGCGGGGGGTCTTTGCTTTGCTTATTTTGGATGACATGGGGGTAGGGGTGTCTAGATGATGATTACGTCATCGGTAGTTATTTACTTTTTTACACGAATGGCAACCCTCTCATTGTCTTTGCTTGAAAACTAAACGCATTTTCGGGCACTCCCGCAAATAATGCATACGTTTAGTGAACAGCGCGCGGTAATTCCCCTACGCGCTTTAGAACCGAGTAGGGGAATTACCGCGCGGTGTTCACTTGTCTAAATTTCCTCTATCAGTGTATTGTTTCGGTTGGATACTATAGCGAGTAGACGTATTGTAAGCATAGTAAAACAAGTTAACATTTGTGTTACTATTGATTCCATTAGCCAAAGTTTAATGTTTATATAAGATGTCGTTTCACATAGACAAATCCAAGTTATACCAAAAATTGTTTGAAAGTTTTAAAAAATCTCATACAAGTACGAAAGTACAAAATGTACAAAAGTTAGTTAACGAAGTGTGGCGAAATTACAAATTACAAGCAATATCCGACAAGGACTAGGTATTATTGTATCTAAGAGAATCGAAGAAGAATTGCAAGCGGCGACTAAGAATAAATCCAATCTACTATTTTTTTTTCTAAGGTGAGTGACGAAATCATTTTAGGTACCTATAAGTACTAGAAATATTCTAATCGCCAAAAAGTTTCTATTTACTGATTAGAAAATATTATGACCTATCTCAAAGTATAGAGGTAATATTCATTATATTATAGATTTATTTCTTATGATTGATTCCGTCAATTGGTCACAAAGTACAGGATGTTAGTTTTATACATATATACAGAAAACTAACACCCTGTATTTTGTGACCGGAACGAATTTCTCGTTTAAACATATTAGATTTAAAGCCATAGCGTTTTGTATTTACCATATATATTGCCATACTTTGTATTTATGTAGATTAATAAGAGAATCTTTAGCAGAAGCCATAGAAAGTTTTTATTTTTAGGCAACCTGTAAACCTGCCGAAAAAACACAAATTATACAGTCAGCTTCAAATATTAAAAAAGAGGAAGAAGATAAAATAAAACTCGGTAATGAATCACAACAGCAATGCGAAATTAATGAAAATACAGATAAACAGAGAGCAAAACCCTCTCAGGAAGCTATGAAAAATAAGATTGCTCTACTCGAAAAAAATCTGAATGCTATTCTGCCAGAGATACTATGCCAAGCCGTGCTGAAGTTGATAAACAGATCATTAAGTTGCGCGAGGAAATAAAAACAGCAAAACAGCCTTTAAACAGGAAGGTTCAAAACGCAGTTGCCCAGAAGAGACACAGGGATGGTATGAAAAAAAAAGTTAGAAGATATTTGTCATGAAAATCCAGAAATAAAAAAGACCATCTCTGAGGGATTCAGTGGGACGTCCTAATCTTGAAAGCAATCAACATTCACTATTGAAAACAGCAGATGATAGAAGACGAACGGAATCAATTCGCAGCGTAAAACCTCTTGATGAACTCACACAAGTATTACGTAAAATAGGATTTGACATTAGTCGCAGTGGGACATATCTTCGTTTGATTCCCAGAAAATCTAATTCTGCAGAGGGACGAAGTCATGTATCGACAGTTCCTGTTAAGGTCATTCGGGCTCAAACTGATCACCACAAGAGCTACTTAGATAGCAAGTTCGCTGAAACATCAATCCATTATTTAGAGAACACAGCATCCATACTTGGACCAGATCAAGTATTTTTCATATCTCAAGATGATAAAGCTCGGGTCCCTATTGGCGTAACTGCGGCAAATAAGCAAGCACCTCTTCTAATGCACATGGAATATAGAATCAAATTGCCTGATCGCTGAGCGTCATAAATTAATACCACCTGTTTATGCTGGTATCAAAATCACTTCCAATATGCTAGGACAACCGCAGGCCGTTGGATATTCTGGACCAACATACATCGCTATTCGAGGTGAAAGCATAGTTCATCTACTGCTAATACTCATGCTCAGGATTTCGAGACGCTTCTCGAACTTGAAGAGTTTCGTCCATTAGCTAAAACTGACCATGGACTAGTAAAACCAGTGGTAATCATGACGGTTGATGGAGGGCCAGATGAAAATCCACGTTATCAAAAAGTCATAGGGTTTGCTATACAACACTTTAAGCGACATGATCTCGATGCATTGTTTTTAGCTACCAATGCTCCTGGAAGAAGTGCGTATAACAAAGTAGAGTTCAGAATGGCTCTTCTTAGTCGGGAACTGGCTGGTTTAATATTGCCGCATCACCATTTTGGGTCTCATTTGGATGAACGTGGTGTTACAATTGATGAATTGATGAACATTTAGAAAGACCTAATTTCGAATTTGCAGGAAATGTATTAGCTGAACTATGGAGTTTAATGAAAATTGATGCCTATAATGTTAATGCAAAATATGTTGGGGCAGGTGAACAAGATCTTCCTGCTTTTCCAGACATTAAATGGTATTCAGAACATGTGCGTGAGAGCCAATACTTGCTTCAAGCTGTAAAATGTAGAAATACAGAATGCTGTCGTCCAACCAGTGGAATATTTAGATTACTAGACAATAGGTTTCTTCCACTACCTGTAAAAGTAAAACAAACAGTTGATGACTTGGTTTTGGATGAAGGAGGGCAATTTCTTAATCTTCCAGTGAATTTAGCTCTACGCTTAAGTGCTTCACTCAAAGATTTCCTGCAAATGCCCTACGATTATTTTTGTTCAACGGTAAAATTGAGGCTATCAAGTCGAACATGCAAAACGTGTGGTCTTTACCATGCTTCCGTCAAGTCACTAAATCGTCACATCGAAAATATCCATAAAAAAGTAAACACGCACACTGATAGGAAAGTTAGACCTGTAAGAGTCGCTGCTCGTCGTGCTAATGAACTGATGTGCATTATTCAAAATTTAGAGCACCATGATGTTGAATGGATCGATGAAAACGACGTAGACATTCCAAAATCCGATGAAAGCGAGCAAACTCACAACACTGAGCAGCAATCGAAGCAATCCAATGTCATCGAAAACTTAGAATAATGGATTCGGGTTTCATGGACTGAAAACTGTTAATTTGAATTTAATATATGTACCAAAAATTTATAATAAGTTTGTTATGTTAATAAGATATAATATTTCTGTCCTTTACTCTATCTTGAATACCGTATCAGTAAAATATAATCTCTATCCTAAATCAATATTCTTATTTTTCAAATTATAATTATAACGTTATAATTATAATATAAAAAAAACAATACATTAATTGACAAATGTTTACGTAAGCATGGGGGAGGGCGTAAGAGCTTTGCTTACTTTTGCTGACGGGGGGATGGGGGGGTAAATAATTGTAATAAATTTACTTATGTAATACTTGAACGGCCCCTATGTTCCTGTAATAGTTTTTTAATTTTTGAAGATAATCGATTAAAATAATCCATGACTATCCCAAAAAAAAGTCGACATCTCTTTCCCAGCAAAAAAAAATAGCTTATGTTTTTTTGGCGCTGGTTCCCCCTTTGCAGTCCACTGTTTGGACTGTATTGTTGTTTCGGGCATATGATGGTGTATCCAAGTTTCATGTACAGTAATTAATCGGCGCCAAAACTCGGATTTATTGCGCCAACAGAGCTTTGGAAATGTTAATTCGAACACGTTTTTGGTCTAGCGTGAGCAAACGCGGCGCCCAACTCGTGGACAGATTTGTCATGCCTAAATGTTGATTTAATATGTGACAAACGCATGGACGGCCCGAACGTTCATCGTCTCCCAAGCTCTTACGGCCACGTTTAAATTGAGCTGCCCAAAATTTCACTGTGATAAATGATGGTACAGAGTCCCCATTCACAGAATCCAACACATCTTTGATTTGCGTAGACTCAAACGACTGTTACAAAACAACTGCGCGTTCAAAATGGCTGAAACTTTGATTAGTAACTGTCAACACATCATTAACAAAATTCACTTGTTTTATTTACGAGTGCTGCCATCTTTACGTTGAGGTAACGAACCTATTCAGATCACCCTCGTATTATTTTATTATGGTTATAAAAGTAGCATATTTTCTGTTCGATCGGAACTTGAAAGTTGTAGTTATGGGAATAGAATAATTTTATGTAGACTATTATATTCTGTTAAACTATCTAATGCGGATCTGTCTGCATTTTGTATGAAATATTTTACTCTGCTTTGTCAAACCGAAGCAGCCGCTCAGGCAGAAGCCTAAATGCTAGGATATCGCGGCTGATATGAGGATCTAAAAGAAAATTTGTTAATACGATTTTTGAACTGTCTAAAAGCTGCTACACACGGCAATGCCGCCGGCTATGCCGCCGGCACAAGCCGCGCAAAGCCGTCAAGCATCATTCCGGTTGTGACAGTCACATAGAAAGCTAGTGAAGTGCTGCATTTCTGGGATTCCATAATATATCATTTTCATGAAATTTTTCAATTAAGAGCAGCACAGCTTCGTCGTCCCAATTAAACGACATTTTTAATTGTTTAAACACACAAACCGCACAACACTACCGCTCGAATGCCAGGAACGAAGTGACGCCGGCACACCACGGCGGCTCCTTTGCGCGGCAAGGCCGGCGGCTTTGTATGCCGCCGGCACTGTGTGTAGCAGCCTTAAGGTTAGCAGAGCTAGAAAAAGCTTCCTCTTGTAGATTGTTCCACAATCTCGACACCCTAGGGACAAAGAAGCGGTCGTATCGGCCAGTTCTGGATGTAAGCTCTACACGGTTAGAATGGGAGGCCGAAGTCAGGCGGGTCTGTTTGGCAGGCACATTGCTTTGCAGAATCATAGAGGAGAGCGCTGAGGAGCAAAGCCCGTTGACGTAGTGGTAGAAGAGGGCTACATTGCCCGCTAAAGGGTGCCGAGACTGTCTATTAAAGAAGAGTCATCCATCACTTGGGACAGCCCTCCTCTGGGCAGCATCGAGCATAAACAATCTAGTCGGGGCAGCAGCACCCAAAACGTGTGAACAATGCTCGAGGCTAGGTCTTCTAAGGACCTTGTACAGAGCGAGGAGGTTTTGTGGAGAAAAGTACTTCTTAGCCCTAAACAAATCACCTAGATTTTTCCCAGCAGTCAAGTCCTTGGTGATCTGGACTTTGACCAGCCGAAATTAACGGCTCTTTGGCAGAACTCGGCCATCCATCTAAACCGGATTAGCGCTAGGACGGTACTGTGTTTTGGAAGCATTAAACTGTACAAGATTGTTGCGTCCCCAAGCAGTGATAACCTCCAGGTCTCTCGTCAGAAGGGAAGTCGCTGCTAGTGTTTTTTCCAGCTCACCGGCAGAGATCGGCTTGTCGCTCCGAATTCCTGCATGCAGAGTGCTGTTTTCAGCAAAGCTGTGGATTGGATTGATCGTATAGGAAAGGAGGTCATCGATGTGTAAGAGGAACAGTGTCGAAGCTAAACCGATCCCTGGGGAACACCCACGGTGAGGTTGTGTGATGAAGAGCAGAACCCGTTAATTACGACAGATGTCTTGTGGCCAGAGAAAAAGTCAGCCATCTGTAAAGCTTTTCTGAGAAGCCATAGGCTGGAAGTTTGCATAGGAGCGCAGCGTGTCACAGCTGATCGAACGCTTTCGTGAAATCAAGAGCAACGACATGAGCCTCACCATAAGACGTGTGACGTAAGCTAGTACAAGAACTTAGAATAACCATGTAGAATTTATAGATATCTGACAAGAAATTGTATAATTAACTTTAAAGATAAGATATTTCTGGCATATACTTACATAATATGTTTTATGCCGTGTTTGATATTTACGTCCTATTTGCAGCAGAATAGTTTTATGTTTAAATGTAGATATAGAGTAATAAATTAGAGGCATAAAGTTGACGAATATCCATTTATTCAGTTACTTGAGATAACGTTTTTGACGGGTAAGTTAAAGTTTGGTTGATAATTTCTAGCTTTATTGATCGTTGATTTTGTTGCAGCACCTCAAGAGGTATTCTATACCGAAAGCATGATTATACAAGAGTGGAGTATATATTTTGCAAATATTTGACATCTAAAATGTTTTTTTTAATACTTAAATATGTATAATAGCATTATAGTCGTATTGATATCATTATTAATGTGGCTATCCCATCGGAGGTGTGTATCTATAGTGGATCCAATAAAATATTATTTCTTGGATATTCTCTTAGTTGTATTTTCCAGTTGTAAATTAAACTAACTCGAAATGGGCAAGAAAAAGTTTTTCATAGTTGACACTCCCAGTCATCTTCGAAAAAACATAGCGGTCTCATCACAAAAACTAATCATTTGTCCGGAATGTTGTAGGTCAAAAATGTCATGTATGTATAAAGAAAAGAAAACAGGTCCTGAAACTGTGCCCTGAGAGATTCCACAACTAAGGTTTGTTGTTTGACTTTTTCATTATTTATGGCTACGATTTATTTCCTGTTCTCTAGATAACTTTTAAGCAAAGCCAAAGTTTTAACTCTGAATAGTCTAAGACTTCCAAGAGGTGTTTAAGATCAACAGTGTCGAAAGCCTTAGCGAGATCCAGGAATATGTATAGTGATGCTCTTTTGTTATCCATGGCCTTGTTTGTTTTATTTGTTAGGGCCAATATAGAACCATTTATAACATACAAAATTTATCAAAAATTGAATGATGTTAGAAATAATTCGTCGCTTTACATTCCTCTGACTCCGAGACTCCTGCACTGGTCACGATGCGATCCGTCTTGTACGACGGAAAAGCGGAAACTCACCCATCGGTATTCGAAAGTCGTAAGCATGCCACGCTTTTAAAAGGATATCCAAAAATAATGATATCGGCCATCTCTATTTTGGATAAATATCTCTTCAAAAAATTTCCGACGAAACATAATAGACGTTCAGTCATGCATGAGTTATACTCGTAAGATCGATGCCTCGAGATGACTTTTTAAAAATTTTATTTTCGAAATTACAAAACTCAAAAATGTACTTTTACAAAATTATTACAATGTTATTAAGATGTTAACAGTACAAAGGCTTAAATCTGACTGACTATAAAATGTGTTGAGAACAATAAAGTAAACTCTAGGTCTTCTAGGAAATTAGTAGCATTGTCGGCAGTATTCCTGGCATATCAGCAGGAATGGCTGATATAACTCATGGGTTCCTGAATTTTGTTCATAATTATACGGATGCATATTTCACCTTTTGATAACATTAGTTGCACTTAAATGCGGAATTATAGCGAAGTGAATGGTTTTCGCTTCACACGAGTCATAGAGGTGTACAACCTAATAGTGGCACGTTTTAGAATCAGCTGTATTAAAGGTATACAATTATGATATGTCATTGCATTACTTGCCAATTGACGACACGATACAACAATATGTAATTGATAATTTTTACATATTTCATAGTGAACTTATGAATTCAAAACAACTTTGAAAAAACGTCGGTCCACTCTGTTTCAAATAGTAGCAGCTGACTGAAGCTTCCGCCATTTTAATTTCGAAAGAAATCGGTATTGAATTGCGACCTCAAAAGCATGACAAATTCGAATTTGAGCGTAACAAAAACTTTTTTTGCAAACATGTTCGATATGTTGGATCAGCCATTTTGATTATCGGAAAATCGAGATCGAACTTGTTATCAGCGACGCTTAAAACATAAAAAGATCCGAGAGAGACATTTTTTGCAAATATGAATAACATAATGAATTCACCATTTTGATTACCGAAAAATCGATATCAAGTTCGTTATCCGCTATCTCAAAAACAAAAAAAACATAGAATTTGAGCACAATCCAAACATTTTTGCGAACTTATTCGTTACCGGCGCCCTCGAAAACATAAATGATGGTTTTTAGTAACATTTAGCGAATCTTCCTAGTTTTCGCCAAGTTTTAGTACTTTTGTACCACCATGTATTTATTCTGTAGCCGTGTCATCTCCCGAAGGTATTTTTTTACATAGGTACATCCACGGCAGAATATCCTCTGTTCTCCACCGTTAAACGAATATTGATTACCTGATAAAAGCAATTTTTCCTGCTTGTCATTTTCATTTTGTGTCCGATACCTCATCTCCATAGATCGATGCGTTTCTAGGAAAGCCTTCCTTTGACTCCTGTCAGTGAGGTACTTCGTGTACATTCCCGCAAAATTCACGCAAATGTACAGCAAGGTGTTCGCCACTATCATTCGGATTTTGCATTCCATGTGGTCGTGCCTCTAGAAATAAATATCTGAACTCAGTAACAAAGAAAACGGTACACCCCGTGAAAATTACAATTAAACATGAGTAAAAGGAAGACTTGATTACATGTTTAAGTGAAAACATTAATGATATTGCTAGATTTCACAAATACTGTATTGGGCCATCTCGATGTCATATACGAGTGCGATTTTTAAAAGTGAGAGCCGATTGCGTATCGTGTCCCCGCATGGTGTCACGTGACGTCCGTTCACCCTCAGACACGCTTGGCCAGTTTGTCACAATGCCGCCATTACGTTTTGCGTCTCTGTCGGTGTTGGTTGTCTGGTTATACTGGTTTGTTGCCCTCTCAATCAGTAAGCCCACCGATTGTAAGGTGTGATCAGTAATTCCGTTTTTAAACGTAAAAAAAATCATTCTGCCTTCAGCTTGTTAATCAAAACCGTCGGCGGATCCTGCTCTCTAACGGCGTCGTTCTGCTTCACGACAACGCTCAGCCTCGCGTTGCGGCAAAAACACAGGCGCAACTGCAAAAGTTGCGTTTGGAATTGCTGGACTATCCTCCATACATGGCTTATACTAACAAACTTCTAACATGGCGGAATAGCGGATTGGACTTGGACTCCACATATACAGTTTAAACATTTTTTAGAAAGGCTAACATGAACCACCCTACTTATTTATTTTTTATGACCATTTCCTATTTTATTTTTACTAATAATTCTACGAGCCCCTTCCCACTTCAGTTGGCCCACTTCAAGATTTGTACCAAAATATGCCTTTATAAACTAAACATGAAACTATTTACTTCTAAAACAATTTATTTTCTCAAAAACATTTTAGATACACTCTAGTCGTAAAAAATACATATTTGAAATCACTTAGACCTATAACTAATAGAACATCTGAACAAATAAACAATGTGCGAATAAATGCGCGAAGTTAACAAAGCAACAACTGAAAGATTACCGTTGGGTAACATCACCTTTATTTTTTATTACGGCTGAAATTCTTTGGGGCATAGTGTTAACCAAGTTTTGGCAAAAATTTGGTGTAAAACAATCCCATATTTCTTGAAGGCTTTTGTCTCAGTTCGGTGATTGTACGAGCAGGATGTTGTCGTAGAACCTTTTTCATCTTGTGCCACAAAGTTTCAATAGGTGACAGATCTGGACTGCTAGAAACCCATTTCAAAAGTGGTACATTATTTTCTTCCATTCATTTTATAGCCTTTTTTGAGGTATGGCACGCTGCACCATCTTGCTGAAACACAAAGTCTTGGCCGGATGTCAAACATTCTTCCATCACTGGTAAAAGCGGTTCTTCTAAAATTGCCAAATATTTGTTTGTATCCACATTTCGATCAATAAAATGAAGTTTTCCTACTCCTTTTGATAACATACTGCCCCAGACCATAATGGATGCTGGAAATTTCACTTTTCTCTTCAGACAGTCAACATGGAATGCTTAATTTTTTTTTGCGAATAACTCTACTGCGACTGTCACCAACACAAACTTCGAATCGGGCCTCATCACTCCATTGTATTGCACACCATTGTTGAGGTGTCCATTGTCTATGTTCTTTAGCCCATCTAAGCCGATTTTTCTTTTGCAGTGGAGTTAATAGTGGCTTTTCTTTGGCCTATAAAAGTTGTGCAACTTTAGGGTTTTTACTTCACTTTTTTTATAAGAAAACTTACCTTGCAAGTGCTAAACTCCAGTTTGTGGGCCTCTCTATAAGTTGTAGACCTCGAAATTGTCCTTCCAACAGCGTCACTCCACAGAACACTTAATTGTAAATAATTGGCACGCCTGTTTTTCATGATTATTCTTCTTAATGCTCTTCGGTCGGCATTTGTGATATTACTTTTTTTCACATATCGTGGCTTAATATTAACTGAACCAGTTACGTTATATCTTCTAACAATATTTCTCACACTGTTCCGCGATAATTCTAACAAAGTTGCAATTTCTGAGTTTGATTTCCCAGAATTAAAAAATTTGATTATTAGTAACCGAATTTTCTCACAAATAACCTTTCCTTTACCCATTTTGAAAACCTTAACTACCCAAAACTATTTTAAACGTATTCGAACAGCTGTGGTTAATAAAGGCTTGTTTGTCATGGCTTTTATTTTTCACAGCCACCTATGCGTTATAGACTTATTTTCCATTGAAATGAAAATAGGCTGATATGCTGTAATTGCAACATGTGTTATTTTTATGCTGCAAATTTGATTAGGGAGTGATAAAGTTGGTGTTTTCTACCATATTTTATCAAAATATTCATTGTTAATATTTTAAACCTAAAACACCCGGCTACATTTTTATTATTTGTGTTTGATAAGAAAAAAACTAAAATTTCAACAGTTGGGCCAACTGCAGTGGGAAGGTGCTCGTAGTAATTATTACAGCCTTAGACAATTAATAATTACCTCATTTCTTAATAAATCAAGTCATTGATTCTTGCTCGAAGGTCAAACTATTAAATTATTTGAACTTATCTTACCTGTAATTACACCAATTTTTATTGCAATACTTCTTTAAGCCTAATTTACTTTAATTTATTGATGAAATTAAAAACCATATAATTACTACTAAAAATGTTGATAATTAATGATACATTTAGACTAAAAGTATTGAACTTGATTCTTATAAAATTCCAATAAATAAATAGAAAATTATCTATACCCAACTCTAAAATATAAAACATATACGTATAAACAAAAAAGGATGTACTTCGTATCATCAGTCGTTCCTACAATTTGTAGAACGCCTTTATGGCCTCCTTGATTGTCATAGTTTTCTACTTTTCCGTGTCAGCGCTCTATTTTGGGGTTATGTCACAAATATCTATTTGCATCAAATTGTGCATGCTTTTGATTTATATCATGTTTTATCAGACTGAAATTTCCTACAATTTAAAAAGAAAACATATCTTCACAATCGGAGAGCGCTGACGCTGACACAGAACAGGTGCAATCTAGAAATTTTTGAAGGAGAGAAAAGAGTCTGACAATCAAGGAGGCCATAAAGGCGTCCTACAATTGTAGGAACGACTGACGATACGGCCCCTAGTGCTGTAGAAGCTTATTTTATAAAGCAAAAACAAATCTTTATTTGTTACAAAAAGTACGAATTATTTTTAATATCTACCCTGACCTATATTTACTGGTCTAATACGCTTATTATTTACAAATATGCATCTCCCACTACCTACTGCCGAGTTGCCGCAAAAAACGAGTATCGAGTCATCTCTGATTAGACAGTTGAACCGGTTGAACTTCGATGCGGCGCGAGTTGGAGTGTTTTGGTCGGTTTTTCGGCAGTTTTTCAGTTTACCTCCGTGTTTTTCGTGTGCGTACTGTGTATGTTATTTATGGATTTTGCAAGTACATTTTATAATCAATAACTATTCAAACTTATGATGGCTATTACTTTTCTCATCATAAACTGTATTTTTTACTTGACAAAAGTGGGGTTAGGTTTACCTTATGAATGTAAAATATATCAAATTCCGTTAAACCTCTATCATAATAATGCAATTGATTCTTTCATAAGCTCTATAGTTTTATGGATGTTTTGTTGTATATTTGAAGGAATGAATTCTTTTTATTTGGGGGGAGTGTAAGAATCGGGAGTGCCGGTGTATTTGTATGATAGTCAAACTTTTGGCGTGTTACGGTCAACATTTCGTGAAGAAAGTGTTTGGTGATTTTTCTATTTCGCTTCTGTTTTTTCCGATTGTTTTCCTTTACCGTGCCTTGTGTTGTCAAATGAGACTCTGAGTGAGGACCTATTGTGAGGACTGTCGTTTTATCTCGTCGGTCGGTAAGTCCGTTTTGGGTTATTTAGTTTTTTGGTGATGGGCAAGGGCGCCCGCAGGAATTTTTCTCAGGGGGGCTGATCTCAACAGATAAATTTTTGTAAAAGTGTACCTACCGCAAAAACTATTTGAAAAGCGGAGGCAAATCCTAAAAAATGTGCACAAAATCATGCTAGATATCCAAGATTCTCAGTGGGACAACGTCCCCCTGGCACACACCTGTTGGCGCTCTTGATGTTTTTCGTTTATAATGGGGTAGTATATTATAGATACGACTAACGGCGCTGATTGGTCAAATAAGCAATTTGAGGTTAGAAAAAATTAGAATTTCAAGCATACCTTTCTTTTTGTTACTAGTAACTAAATTGTGTAATATTCCGCGTATGGCCTTAAAGTTAAATAACTATGAGATGATATCAGGTTGTGAGAATAACTTCTATTTTCATAAAGATCAAAGTTTTTGCGGGTGCTCTACGCCGTATCACTTTATGTTTGCAACTTTATGGAGACAAAAGTTATTCTCAAACCCTGTACATTATCACATAGCTTTAACTACGACATTAATATTACACGATTTATTTTAGTAACAAAAGAGAAACGTACGCTTGACATTTAAATTTTTTCTAACCTCAAATTGCTTATTTGGCCAATCAGCGTCGTCTCTCGTATCTATACAACCTCCCCTTAAATATTATGGCTTATCATCTGAAGCATTTTTCTTTAAAGAACGCCTTTGGCCTTATTTGCCTTGTAACTTAAGATAGCAAAAAATGATTCCTCATCAATGAAGGCCTACTTATTTACTAAAACTACTGTACAATATAATAGGAGAGGGTTATGTTATATTCATGGGTTGACATTTGATATTCAGAACCACATAGAAACCTCCACTTGTGCAAGGTTGTTATTGGTCTTAACTGTCAGTAAAAGTGATGTCACGAGTGGATAGTTTGTGACGTCATTATTTGACAGCTGTTACAAACTGCGTCGCGTAAAATGACAAAGCTAAAACCAAACACTACCGGTTATGATTGGTAGATTGCTTATAAAAATGCTCAAATTTGACAGCCAGTCAGTTCGTCATTTTCAAAGATGGGGTTATAGAGTACCCACTAGGGGTTTCAAAATGAGGTACACACGATCACCTTTTCAGTTTGAAAAATGTTCCAAAATGTCTCCCAGTTACAATGATCAGTTACCCTTTGGTTAAAATTTGTTGGATATCGATTCAGTACTTCCCAAAATATTCCACAATCTCTAGATTGGATGCAGTCCGGGTATTTGGAAGTTACAGTGAGAAATGCTAGGGGGATAATATACAACAAAAATATAACATTGCATTAGGATTTGAAAATGTAGAGTTGTTTCCCATAAGTTGGCAAATCTGGCAACAACGCGTATATTATCATATGATCGCGGAAGATCATCTTCAGAATTTTATTAATTTAAGTCGACTGCTTTTCATGATATGTGACCATTTCTGGACATTAGAATAACCGTCGATACAGTGTATTTATTCAGTGCAGTATTTTTGCCGTTATGAATAGAAAAAGATATTTGGAAAGCAATATTCACCTTACTATCAAAAATGAACATGTATACAGAAATGGTGACTATATGTCCAATGGAAGACAATCCTCCTGCTAGCATGCACCACCGCAGAGGAAGCGGCAACATCGCATACTGCACGAAAATCGTGAATAAAACGTACCATACCAAGTCTTCTTTATCTGAAAATCCTACAGCACGTCCACCAAGACCTACAAAAAAACAGATTGGACATTTTTATCCTATTTATTTACGTATTTACAATAGATGGAAAAAAATTGGTTTATAGTACAGTACCAGAAGATGCTATTCTTTTTTAACATAGCATAGCTAATGAAATGTATCTGAAGTATAATTTTTAAACATAGACAAGCATTCTGCTTTAGATTGTTAGTAGTCTAAAACTAACTTATAGGGTAACAAACAAACAAGCAAAAGTTACGTGCACAGCTGCCGTTAAGTGCAAAAAACGCGAAAATCAGGTATCGTCATTATAATAAGGCACGAGAATTAAAACATATTTCGATGATAAAATACAGTGCGTTATGATAAATACGGAAAATCTAAAATTTTTCTTTTACAGTATCTTGCATTTTTTCGATCACTTTAAATTACACACAGATACTGTGTTTTAATTTATAATCAAAGCAATGGTGCTAACAGATACTATAAGACATACATACACTCAATCACATCGAATTCATAATATTTTTAATTACGTGTCGTCGGTCATTTAGTATATTTGGTTACTGTAAAATTTGTTAAGGGTTTCATATACTAAAGATTATACAGGGTGTAAAGTTAGTAGTGGATCAACGGAAGTCAGGAGATAGAAGTCCTCAAAACCTATACATATGTGTGGTCCGAAATTTTATAGTTCAGGAGATATTTGCAATTTGAAATCTCTAAAAAAAACGGGATAATGAACTTTCAATCACAAATATAACTGAACCATTAGGTTTAGGGCTGTGATTTTTTTTCTGAGATCAGCTAAATGGTTAGTTTTAGCAATGCTTATGTTATTTTTTAACAGAGATTATTAGAAATCAACGCAAAAAATCTTAAATTCATTTTTTTGTGAAAAATCTCATTCATTCCTCAACTTTGGAGGGCGTTAAAAAAATTGAGGTATTTTATTATTCATTTCATTGTAAAAACTATTTCAATCCATGTGGAATTGAATCGGTCATTTTAAAAACCACTTAAGGCCGTTTTTACAAGCTTTTGCTTGACTTGACCTTATCACCCCTTAACAGGAATACGTGACATTATATATATATATATATATATATAAATTGAATAATGATATTAAACAGTGTTCGAATTTAAAAATGTGTAAGGTGAAATTAAAAAAATCACCTTATGAATATTCAAAATGTATAGTGACGTAATTTTGATAGACAAGAATGCAAAATTACAAATTATGGATTGAAGAAAAATGTGCAAGCGAATAATTATACAAAATTGACTTTGTAGCATTAATACTAAATAAACCTTCAACAAACCAACAAACACACTTGCTTACCGCCTGTAGCCTACCCTGGTCATTCCTATAATTAAGCCCCGTCCTTCCCCGCTCGATTATTAAAACCACATCTGCCGAATAGGAATAAACTTTACTGGCGCGCTTCCTACCCCTTCGGCCCGTGTCAAAATTTGATTGACAGTACTAGTCCCCATATCAAGGGCTGCCACGTACTGAAAGTTTGAGAGCTTTCGTGGATATTTGAAATATAGGGATTGGTAGCAATTTTTGGAAGGGTATGTCATCTAAAGCTTGATTCGCTGGATTATGAAACTTTCGAGCCGGTTATAACTACGACTAATAGTCTACTGTCAGGTAATGAAAGTGTCAGAAGCTGTTCTTGCGTGACTTAAAAGGTAACATATCGATTTTTAATGACATCACGTAGGTTTTTCCTTCCTTGGTACTAGCTGTTGAATTCGCTTGTAGTAGCTACGGGTGTTGCCTAAACGTCATTACACTATTGGTTTGGCTCTGATGTGTCTTAACGTCTGCTTCAGAGATGGCACTGGCGGAGACCATTTACAGCATTTGTGACCTAAGCTGTTTGTTCTGAACTATTGCCGGAATGACGGTGGTTGTGCCATTCCTCCATAGGTGGCGCTCATAACGAGTAGGTGCGGAATGGGTTAGCGATTACTTAGTAGACAAGCTGATATTATACCGATTCTACTTCTCACGGCTACACGCGAGGGAGTAATGTAATCGCGAAAAAAATCGAAAATCAGATGTTCTGTCACTCATTTCTGTCGGTATGTTTGTCTGTCCTCTAATCCTTGACCCATCTATAACTCGGGAAGTACCGTTCGGATTTTGATGAGGAGGGCTTTGGGCAAAAAACAAAAGAACATAAGCTATAAAATTACGTAATATCACTGCATAGTTAGCTCCAGTTATACGAAAATCGAACCTTAATTTTGGCATTTCAAGTAAATCATCCTGCATATTTATTACGCATTTGGTAGTGAACATGGGATATATTGATGATTTTTTGGACTAATCTTATGCTCTTTTGTCCATTTACGACTGTCAGATAATCGCTTTCAAGATATTGAGCGAACAAAACTGTCTAAAATAATATTTTTTATTAACAAAAACACATGGAGGTTTATACCCTACATCATCTACAAGATACGTAGGTACGAATTTAAGTCGCCATTTTTTTTGTCATAGACTTCCAAGATCTTTCAATACAATTGAATTCGTACATATGCATTTAATAGAATAGAGTTGATTGAATTGAATTACTTCTCTACCAGACAGCAAAATGTATTTTATCAACAAATTTTTTTTGGCAAGATAACTGTTGCGCGTGTAATTCCGTTTTGAAGTGCCTTCTAACTTATACATATTAGGAGGATTGAGTCAAGATTTTAAGTGGAATACAAGAAATTTGCTCTCTGGTAAAGCGGATAGGGCAAAGGTGTTCCCGGATTTATGTTGTTTATGCAATAAACGTTGATTACGTGGTTTTTCCAAGGGAAAGGAATCTATTGACCTGCGAGGTGTATACCCATAATACGCATCTACCTTTTTAATGAAGCGCTTTCAGTAAAGAAAAGCATCTTGGCAAAATAGACTTCGAGGTTTTTGAAATGACTGTTTCGATTCTTCTGGTGTCACACCCATAAGTTTCAGTATGGTTGCTAGTGAGTTTTTAACAGAGACATACGAAAATCGTTTGATAGGTCGACAAGAACGTGTCTTTTGGCTTGCTTGACTTCTAGAAACAGCTCCCTTTAGTTTGTTCCTTATGAAATCATTTAAGCTTATTTGTTTACGCAACTCGGTTCGAAAAATCCCACAATTGCTTGATGTATTTAATAAATTTGGCAATTTAGAAAGTCAAAGTAATCTCCACTTGAACTCCAACCAACATGTATATGTCTTGGGTTATATACAGGGTATCCCACGTATAACTGCAGTGATCCATTACTCTAGAAGTTGCCGCAAGAAACGAAGAAACGAAAATATGGGCTTACGTTTAAGCAAGACCTACTAAATTGTGAAGAATACAACCTCATATAAAATTAATGCTGCTTTCAATGCATAATACGATGAAATTATAAAAAATTTGGATTCTATTTGAAAAATGGGTTTTCTATAATCCAATCGTCATTCTCTTTTTCGACCACCCTGTGTTATTTGTTACTCAAATTCTGTAAAATCTACTACAAGAAACAACACCAAATCATATAGCAAAGGCAACAATACGAGCAAAAATTGCAATAATTCATTGGTTTGCATTTACTGAAAATCTGAGATACCTCGGAAACAGATAAACACAGGTAAATATGATTAATAAATTAATAATAAAATTGATTAATGGCCAACTAAGAATGCGAGGTACTGTATCTGGGAATCTATCCATCCTAGAGGCTTGTGGAAAAAGTTCTTACTAAAACGGCCAAGAGAAAAACCTGGAAAATATTTTCAAGTTTCTGAAATGGCTGCTAGGGGGCGTAACTGCAATCTTGAATCTAAAAAGTGATGTTTCTGTGAATTCCGCTATTAAACCTAACAAAAAAATACCTGGCCTTCAAAGTCGAGGGTAATGTGGACCTTTTTTGTTTGGCAATGCTTGCTGTATCTCTAAAAATAAAGTGGTTATTTAAAGGTTTCCGAAAAAAAGACCCTAATCGGGGAAAAACCCTCGCATCGCAAAGACGCCGATTTGGATATCGAGTCGCGTAAACTCGTTTTGCTACTGCTGCATTCTGAATACATTGCAAATAAACTGCAAGCATATCAACAGCTTCATCGTTCGTAAAACGCATTTGGTAAGCACAAAAATTGCTCAAAGTAATGCAAAACTATTGACAATTTGAGAATTATTCATGTTTCGGTTAAGTATTCGTTTTGTTTTATTCCATGCCTGCTTCTATTAATTTCAATACCATTGACGCATTTATTGAACTGTTGCCTGGAGGCTGGGTATTTCCCTGATGATTGGAAACATGGAAACTATCTCTTGTCAAGCCCTTGCCTAAATGTAAAAATCCAAAATGTATCTCAGACTTAAGACCTATAACTTTGATTCCTGTTATATCGAAGATATTGGAGAAATTGATTAAACATCAGGTTTATCATTATTTCTCTAATAATGATTTCTTTCCCAAGTGTCAATCTGGTTTCCGCAGTGGTTTTAGTACAACTACAGCTTTAGCAAGGGTTTTAGATGACATCATTGCTTCGCTTGATAAGGGAGATGCTTCAGCACTTGTATCATTAGATTATTCTAAGGCGTTCGATAAAATAGATCATGAGCTTTTATGTGCTAAATTGAAGTTTTTTGGTTTTTCAGACATACCTCTAATGTTTTTTATAACATATCTTTCAAATCGTAAACAAGTAGTAGAGATAGAACAACACTATATCTAGTCCGATTGATATAACATCAGGTGTCCCTCAGGGTTCAGTTTTAGGGCCCTTGTTGTACTTAATTTATACTATAGACTTGGGTAGCTCTGTGAAAAACTCTTCTGGGATGTGCTATGCCGATGATACACAGATATATAAGAGCTTTAATAGTAACACTTTACATACTTCAATCAATGAGCTTAATGATGATTTGGAGGCAATAGTAGGATACTCAAATGGTAACGATCTTAAGCTCAATAAGGATAAGTGCTCAGTGATGCTTTTTTGTCCTGCTGTCAAACGTAACAGTATATTGAATTCTCTTGATGTAAAAATCGACAAGGAGCGTCTAGCTGTCGTAAATACTACAAAAAATTTAGGGTTGATTATTGATTATACGGTTTAAGGAGCATGTTTCGTCTATCTTAAAAAAATGTTATGCAACTTTGAAGTGTTTTTATGTCAATCGCTCTATTTTAAAGTTAGAAAAAAGTTATGTGAGGCTATTATATTTCCATGCTTATTTTACTGTAGCACTGTGTTCTATCATTATCTTGATTCCATCACAAAAGCAAGACTCCAAAAACTCCAAAATACTTGTTGCCGATTTGTATTTAATCTCAAGAAGTATGATCATGTTTCCTTAAAGAGATTTCAGCTTGGTTGGATGTGTATAGAAAATGCTTGCAAGTACCATATAGCAGTGTTTACACATAAGATCATATCTTCTCGATCCCCCTTGTATCTTTATGAGAAATTTGTTTTCAGACGAAATAATTCAGACATTGATTTCAGACACAAAAAAAGACTAGAGATCCCTATGTATAAAACAACTTTATTTCGTAGTTCATAATACACTTACAATTTATAACGAATTAGATGACAATATAAAGGATTGGCCAGTAAACAGATTTCGTAAGCATGTGAAACAGATTTATTTGTCATTGTAGTAATTGTGGAAAAGTTAGTTTTTAATTCTTATATTTTATTTTATTTTTACGTAATATATGTGTGTATATATTATGTATGTCAGGAAGCTATCAAGCTCATTGTTTTGAAGCGTCTTTTGCTGCTTGTCAAAGTTTACTTTGATTAAGTATTTCAATTTATTATTTGGGTAGGTTAAGTAGAGTAGCCAAGAGCTAGACTTAGCCTAAGTAGAGGTCATATTATGTTGTAGTTTATATAATGTGCCTAATAAAGACATTTTATTATTATTATTATTATTATTAATTGTTTTTTTCATGTACGAGGTTTGTTCAAAAAGTGTCGCACATTTTGAATTTTCGCGGGCTACGTACGTTCGATTTTAGATCTTTTTGTGGCGTTATGTTGGTACTCATGACCCTCACTAATGTTCACAATATCGGCCATTTTGAATGTTCAGTCAGTTTTGACAGCTATTGTGCGTGGACGTGTTTTAGCTTGTCTCCGATTTTTGTCTGTTCCAAAAAAATGGATCAAAGAATTTGTATTAATTTTTGTGTAAAAAAATAATTTGAAGTGTGAACATATTCCAAATGCTGACTGTTGCATACGGCGAAACTACCTTGGACAAAAGCAACGTTTTTCGGTGGTACAAAATGTTCTTAGAGGGCCGAGAAGATGTGAGCGACGAAAAGCGCCCAAGCACGTCAACAACATACGAAAACATTGATGAGTTCTTGCCGCAGGGTAGAACGGCCAATATGGAATATTACCTTCAAGTAATTTGCGAGAAGCAATTCGCCAGTAACGCCCGGATTTGTAGAAGAACAAAAATTGGCTTTTGTACCATGATAACGCCCCTGTTCATGCATCGTTACTTGTGCGCGAATTTTTTGCCAAAAACAACACTCCAATAATGCCTCACACACCGTATTTCCCAGACCTGGCCCCCTGTGACTTTTTCTTGTTCCCGAAACTGAAGAGGCCCCTGAAAGGACGGCGCTACGTCACGATTGAGAATATAAAGACGGCATCGAAGGAGGAGCTGAACAACATCACAAAAAATGACTGTTCAAAATGCTTCGAGGATTGGAAAACACGTTATCACAAGTGTATAATGTCTGATGGGGATTACTTTGTAGGGGACAACATAGATATTCATGAATAAATAAATAAATAATTCTTGAAAAAACACGAAATTCGCGATACTTTTTGAACAAACCTCGTATACCCATAGTGAATAATATGCATTTAAACAAAAAATATGGCTTTTGTTATTAGCATTACTTACGTACTTTTTAGCGATATTTTGTAATTCTTTCGAAAAGGGTGATTTTATTCTCATGAATAAAAAAATATTCCAGAAAAAATAGTTTGAAAAATAAAAATTTAAGGGATTTCCGTATAACATTTTCTTCGGCCTAAATTTTAGGTTAGAAGCAAGATATCGAGACGCGGTTTTCGCAATATTGCTTAGATATCATTTAGCTACTGTTTCATAAACAAAGTAATACCAATGCATTTAATTTTTTTGAGAAAACTAACCATTTCTGTCGGAATGTCGAAAAAAGCCCTCTAACGGCCACATGTGAAACTAACCTCAAATATTATAACGTTATTAGCCCAATAATAGCTCTTTTCAACTAGCCCAAGTTTGTTAAAATCGGCTCGGCCGTTTCGAAGATACAGGATATTTTTTACTGAAACCTTTAAATACCCCCCACCACTTTATTTTTAGAGATACAGCAAGAATTGTCAAGCAAAAAAAGTTCATATTATCCTCGGCTTTGAAGATAAAGTATTTTTTGTTAGGTTAATATAGTGGAATTCACAAAAACACCACTTTTTGGATTCAAGATTGCAGTTACGTCCCCTCAAAAACTTATATAATCTATTATTATATATTAATATTTTCCAGGTTTTTATTTTGGCCATTTTAGTAAGAACTTTTTTGCCGCAAGCCTCTACGATGGATAGGTTCTCAGATACAGCACCTCGCACATTATACAAAGCGTTTGATGTGAAAAGAGCAACCAGGTATTATTTACTTCATGTTCATTCAATATTTTATCTGAATTGCTCCCATCACTTATACAACTAGCACAAATTTTCATAACTATCTTAGGTCAAATTTCTGAATAATCGATCGCTGTATGTTCATGTATATCATTTCCATATTCATCCAACCTACTTTGGACTGTCAGAAGGAACCATGTGCATACGGCGGCCCAGTGCAAGTAATTATTGGCGAAACACCTCCACCATCCTAGAACGCACACGGCTATGTTGATCGACATGCAACATACTGACCATATTATCACGTCGGCGTATTTCCTAGGATCTATCTGGTAATTGTTGAAGACTGTCCAAACCAGGATCAGAGCGATCTGAAATCAAACATAACAATTCTGTTAAAACCATCCAATATAATCGAACACACATAAATAAACGATACACAAAATTTAAGTTTCAGACTAAACTAATGACAAGTATGACAAACCATACTGGGTGTTATGGGCATAGTTAACTTATTCTATTTTTATTATTGACTAAGAAACGTAATCGATCAATGTCATTATTTTAAAAACAAAATAGGGCACCAGCCTACTAGTTCCAAACTATTTCGTTATACCACAAATGCATGAAAACGGTTTTTATCTTTTAACGCGAAACTGGTGCATCAGACGAAGAAAGTCAAGAGGTGAAATTTATTGCAACATAAATGAGGATTTTAAAAATATTTTTTCCTGTAAAAACAATAACGTATCATACTGTTTTTTTTTAAATCTCCAGTATACATCCCGTACGGACGCCACTGGTAGAAATATTAAAAAATATACATAAAAATGCCTATTGGTGCTTAGTAGGCGCATGTCAAATTTCATGAAAATATCTCAGTATGAAAGTTATGATAAGAAGACGAATTTTTCTTAAAATTATACCCTATATACATGGCGTTTCAGAAAGACGTGCCAATATTTCTAGGGTACGAAGTACATCCAAAACTAACGAAAAAAAGTTCCTTTAAATATGGGTCCAAACATGTTCCCCTACCGAGATACAGGGTGATAAAGTTTTATTTATGAAACTGAAGAAAATATATGTATATCTGCGGGGCGAGTCGAGATACTAAGTTAAGAGTTCAGGCCTCCAGTGAACATATCACCAGCAATAATTACACACAGAGTTTCTCGGCTCAACCTAAACCAGGAACGTCGAAACTGGGGTACCTGAACACCTAATAGGAAATATTTTCTACGTCACTGGCTTTTTAGGGGAAAAGAGCGCATTTCTTAAAATGCCAATCGATTTTCCATAAATTTTGTCCCCTGAGGAATTTTTGTCAGATTACTCATTTTGGAGATATTTAAGTTTGAACATTTGAGGTAAAATCCTAAAATATTCTGATGAAAACGTTGAGCCTCCTCTATACTGAGAACACTGCAAGGCTTGATATTAAAAACACTATATAGCTTGTGAAGAAAGCACCTTATTACATCATTAATTGAATAATATTCGTGTCTTATCCTCAATCAGAAGCGTAGAAACTTATTATCCATTGGTACACTTGTCATGGTATTGTCAATGTTAGATTCTTCTGTTTGTCTTGAATCATAACTAGTAATTATGGAACTAATCAATTTGAGTAAAATTCTTATTATTTTACTTAAAATCAGTATTTCGGATTAAGTGCGCTCAACAAAGAAGATATCAACCACGGACATTATGTATGAGGAGGAGAATATCCCTTAGATACTTAGCATCGCAGTACATCGTTGGCTGTTACCAAAGTCATTATGCTGCCGTCAAAAAAAAAAAAATGAACTCTAGCTGATAAACTCTGTATGTTTGTTTTTGTAGAGCGCTAGTGAATACAATGAGTCTTAAGTCGAGCTGTTTATCTATTTCTTCTACCAAAATTAATAAAAATCAGCTTCTTCACATGCTTCACCTAAATACCTCCAAAACGAGTGATCTAACAAAAAATTCTTGAAAAAAATTTATGGAAAGTTTAATGGTATTTTATAAAACGCACATCTTTCCTCCGACAGGCCAGTGGCGTAGAAAATATTTCCTAATAGGGGCCCAGGGACCCCAGTTTGTACCTGCGTGGTTTAGTTTGGGCCAGGAAACTCTGTGTATTTATTGATGATGAATCTTAACTCGGCATCTTTACCCTCTCCGTAGATATATTTTTTCAATTTAGTAAATAAAACTTCATCACCCTGTATTGACCCATATTTATAATGACTTTTTTTATTATTTTTTGATGTACTTTCTACCCTAGAAATAATGACATGCCTTTCTGAAACACCCTGTATACATATATTTGGAATCATAAAACAGCTTGTATCATTTCACTCAAATCATATAGCGTGTTCCATTTGAAAAGATAGTTTCTTTGATAGCAGTTTCCTTATATACCATCTATACGGAAAAAGTTATTACACATACAATTGTATATTAGACCCAACAACTTTTGTATGAAACATTTTACTCTAAACAGTCACAGAAAAAAAGTTGGGGTGCGCCTTTTATAATGGAATATGCGTGACTGCCTACTTAACTGCGGACTGTGACAAGCGCAACAGGCGATGTCGACAACGACACACCGCCGCAGGGGAATAGTTATATACAGGGTGTCAAAGTTATGGTAGTCATTATTGAGATGGGTAATAGGGTCGTCAAAACAAATATTTAAAACACACATGACAACAGAGCGTCGTCCTTTAATCACTCTTATCGATCCGGCAATTGATCGCAAACGGTAACAGTGGTTTGTTATCGGGCATCGGGCGTGTTTTGTGTTTGTAAGTCATCGTGTTTTTTATTTATCGCGACATATTTCGCCAACGGGTGCACCCAGACAGAAGGACATTTGTGCAAGTGTACCAAAGACATTGAGATACAGGAAGTGTTCTGCCCACTAATATTCGCACTCGTGAAAGACAGGTTACTGTAGAGCAGGAGGAACAAATTTCAAATATCGTGGAAATCAATGCAGATATCAGCACTCGGGAATTAGGCCGCTGGGTAGGACTATCGCATACCATAGTCCATAGAATCCTACGGGAAAATTTGCTTTATCCCTACCATGTAAAACGAGTGCAGGCCTTGTTACCAGAAGACTATCCTCGCAGACTAACATTCTGTCAGTGGTTTTTGCACAAAAACGTTGAAAATCCGGATTTTTTTAAAAACATTCTAGCGACGGACGAATGTAGTTTTACGCGAGACGGGATATTAAATTTCCATAATACTCACACGTGGGCCCAAGAAAATCCTCATACCATTCGTGAAGGTCATTTCCCACAAAGTTTTAAAATAAATATTTGGGCGGGTATTCTTGATCAGGTAATTGGCCCTGTCGAGTTACCCCCAAAGTTATCAGGAGAAGGATACCAGAACTTTTGGAACAGATCTTATACAACATGCCATTGCAACGAAGACAGAATTTGTGGTTTCTTCATGACGGGGCACCACCACACATTTTTAGAGGCGTCATTCAGTATTTGAATGAACATTATCCAAATCGCTGGATCGGTCGAAGTGGTTCTGATCCTCGAAAATGGCCAGCAAGATATCCTGACCTCAATCCGATGGATTTCTGGTATTGGGGAGAACTTAAAGGGAAAAAAGTCCAGTGTGGGTTTTAAAAAGAAAATCAGATTTTATTTTACTTAAATAATGACTATCATAACGTATACTTAAATGTACCCACCTATTTCGCTTAGCCTTTAATTTATATTACTCAGTATATGATGGTTCTCTGAACATTTCATCAAGTAGATTGACTCAATAGTTATTACGCATTAATATACAGACACGAACGGGTAAACCGACATATATAAGAAACACGAACTTCTGTAAAGCGGATATCTTTAATCAACAGAAGACTTGTGAACTGAACTTCGAGTATTATCGCTAATTCAATACTCCCATCGTCTAGGTAGTCGAAGATTTTGAAGATTGCTTCAGTGGCGGCGGAATTACGGATACAAAATAAAAATTGTTGGAACATAGTGTTACAACGTTTCAGAGATTGCCGTCAGTGAAAGATCTATTATTAAGAAACTGCTAATTCCGGTAATATTATGCACCTGTTGAACATAACGATTTATGCATGTTTCCTCTACAAGTGTCATGGATATGATTAATTTTATATATTTTGATATGTAGAGATCAAAGATTCATCGTACCTAAGTGAACCTACCTAGTTACGATTTGATTCCACCTTTTTGAAACCTCCAACGAGGGCGTATGAAGTATAGAGTGAATCCATTTTTTTGTTGTCTGTATGAAGAAAACATGGATATTAATCCATTGTGTTTTCATTCATCGAGGTAACTTTTTATCCCCAAATTCCTCACAACATAGCGATATTCCCCCACCATCTTTATACGAATAACGGTATTCATATGATCAAACACAACGCAAACAAATAAGGATTGATTTGGAAAATACGCACATACGACCGGAGACCCTTTGAAAATCTTATTATACGAATAGTCTTCCGGATTTTCGGACGCCTCATGAATAAAATATCAGGATACATTACTAAATCACAAGAAACTGATGATAAAAGTTGGAGGGTGACTGACAGGAAATGAAGAGCATGCCGAGGATGTTATCCTAAAATAGATTTTTTACGTACAAAGATTATTTCGAAACTTTACGTTATGGAAAGATGCAAGCTTGAATATAAAGACCATCTTTTCGTCTTTGGAACCTATCGATATTTTTTCTTGAAAATCAATACGTGTAGAATGTTGGAAAAAGAAATAGAAAGAACGAACTCAAGTATGCTTGCTGCATGTTGGTGCTTGACTTGATTTAGTATCACTGAAGGCCTTTAGTAGAACAAAAATATAATTAGCCCATAAGCGTCAAAGGTTTGATAATGCTTGACCTCAAGTCCTGTAGAACAATAAAAAATCAAGTCAAGTACTAAAGTTTCAAGTAATTTTATTTTCAAGTAGTTTATAAATATATCAAGTTGCTTGACTTGACAAGTGTCTAGTGCTATGGGGGTAAGGGCGGATCCAGAGGGAGGTGTCCTGGGGGTCTGCCCTCCCCCATCAGAAATAACCGAGTGTAAAAAAAAAATGAATGCGCTTTTCAATTTGCGGACGACCACCTCCACTGTTCAACATCAATCGCCGATACCTATTTCTACCTGAACATGAATCCGGATTCCACCCCCAGCACTTTTTAGTAGGGTAGAGGTTAATTTCATGGATCCTCCCTAAAAATATTTTCTAGATCAGCTCCTGCTATGGGAAATATCTGCTTAAACTATACAGTGCTATTCAAAAGCTATTTTGGTGAACCTGATTTTCAGTGGCGTTTTTCAGGAGTCTGTAAACATGGAATGATGCTGTATTTTGAAAATTGACAGAGGATAAATTAATCCAAAGAGTCGACCTTTTTTGGAAACTGCTCTGTATTTATTACTTTTCTTCCTACACCATAAGTCAAGAAGCATTGAAATTGCGAAAAATTTCGAAAATGAGATATTATGTTTTGTTGGTGTTATATTATGACTTATTTTTTGCTGTCAAGGTAATATCTTCGGAGTGTAGAACAATCCCAGTTCCGGTGTTTCCTACCAGTGTGAAAGCCCTTTGTCTAGTAGACATATTCTTCAGCGTTATGGTCACTATCGCCTCCAAGTTCTTCCATTTCACGAAAGGCAGTATATATGTCATTCTTCGCTGTCTCATTGTCTTGTATAGTACGGCGTATATTTATTATTCTTTGGTTTCCAGAGACAAAACTGAAGACTCTGGAGGAAATCCAACATAAACTTAAAGGGCGAAATAAGGGGAATTCGAAAGTTGAAGGTTGTTAGTGGATTTTGCTGTGACGTGTTGGCTGTTATAAATCTATAACAAAATCCAAAGAAAAATCTCAGTTTTCAAAAAACTATTGAAGTCAGATTTTCTCGCGAACAAAATCTCGAACATCATGTACCATCTACCAATATATGCATATAATAACTCTAATTTGTTTATTTTGCGGCCAGTACAAAACTTTCGCGTTTCCTAATAAATTTCCTATGGGCCAGTTTCAACAACATTAATATTTGACGGTCAATTGGACCAATAGGAAAATACCTTATCGAAATGCAATTTGACGGAAGCTGTCAAAGCTCTCTGAATATCAGTGATTTCTATTGAAATGTTGAATAAAGTCGTGAAAAAACGTTGCCTTATGAATAAGGGTACATTCTGGATGTAATATCATGTCTTTGTGCTTTAGAATTAGGATAACATTCATAGAATTTAAAATTTTTATCATTTCAGAAAAGATGGTCAGTTATTTAAATGGACCAATGGAAACGAGAGAAATAATAGGTCGATTTTCTAGCTATTATATTTAGTAGGATGTTTTCACTGTTTTTAACGACTGTTCATGCATGGCAATCTAGTTTTGTCTGTATATCATGTACAGGTCGTTGTACATAATACGTACCTGTAGAAATGTACCGATTTTTGTTATTTTGCAAAAAAAAGATATAAAACGTATTCCAACTGATTCATCATCTTTTGTTAAAAAATTCCACGTATAGTCTTATAAAGCGTAGTAGAGTATATTTCAACAGTTGGCAGAGCTTAATCCACTGGGACCAAGGGTTGACGAATCCCGCACATGTGTCACTCGTTGGGGAGTTTTGAAATGTAATAATCAGCAGTTATTCAAATAGTGTCTAATATAAATATAACCTAGAATGTGTACTCGGTGAAACAAGAAAGTTATTGCAAATTCTATTTTTTTGCAGGTTTTAAGTTTGCCGGTAGCTATACGACATATATTTGAGTATTTCTTAATCGCTGTAAATATAGTGTGGATGTTTGTTCAGTTGCTGAACAACCAAAAAATATTTGACTATGGATGTATGGATATCAAAAATCCTTAATGGTTTTGTGGGAATATCAATCGTCGGTGCTATAATGGTACGGATGAACGGCAAGTAAATGAATGAATGTTTGGAAACGAGCAATATCTATGAAATTTTTGGTAGAGACTGTCAGCAAGTAGGTGCTTCATGGCTATCTCAAAGAGGTTTATAGGAAAAGAACTCACGGTAGGTGATGTTGAATCAGTAAAATAATATAAACATGAATAAACAATCGACAATATTAAATAAAAACATGAATTTTATAAAAAAATCGAACACTTTCAAATGTTGACTAAATTATATGTAATTTCTTAATATTCAATAAGCTGGTGATATTTCAATGACAATCTGTCATCTCATAATTTGACAGTACTTTGTTTTCAACATTTCATAGCTATTGGTTGCTAAAATTTGTTGGTTGGAACTTGAAGCTCATTCGCTGTATTTGACGGACTGTTACCCTATAGGTGGAGAATAACGGACTGTTGATTTGACAATCCTGGTGAAGTTATTTTAGCGGTGAGACTCAAATATGGGCCATAAACTCACGATACGTATACCACCACTTACGCAATGGTGGATTATGGATTTAGACATGTACTTGTTCATGATCATCTTCAAGCTAAGCACCCAAATGATTCTATAGATTCAAAAATTTTAATTTTGATACTGAGTAGGCGTGATATCTCGTGAGCGATAATGTGTTTCCGCCTTAAGGTGTGTATATGTGAGACTGTAAGCTTACCTTCAACAGTAGATCCACAATGTTGACGATAATTAACGCCTTCTGTCTTTGTCTGTGACTGTATCTTAAATACGCCAATTCTAAGTGCTTGCAGTGGAAGCTGTTTGTTAAACTGGGCCAGTAGATGCCTTTGTACATCAGACCGCTTTTGAAGACTGTGGCGAAGTCTGCTGTAAAGGGATTTGAGACAATTATTTTGAAAATGTGATAGGAATGTATAAAACTTTGAAATAAGTTGAAACAGAGTGGCTTATCCAAATTCTGCCACAAAGAAAGAAACACTTTACCGTCTTCAAAGATATCGACTACCGGAGCAGATAAAATGCATATAAAAATCCTTACAAGAAATCCAACTTAACTTATATTAATTATCTAGAAGGTCATACGTTATTGGACCATTTACTGTATTTTATGTAACCAAAGTTATAGACAGCGAAAAATGTAAGTTGTTAACTGTTACGAGTTTTGTGTAATGCAAATAACTAAATGTAATGTTGCAATCGTGGGTGCCCAACAAGGTTGTACAGACATCAAATGGAAGAAGAAGGATACGAGATAAGTAGGTTGAGTAGTATTTTTATTCATATAAATCTAAATTTCACATTTTCTATGTGTTCAACTTCCAAAAATGTAGTCTGTAGCTGCATCACGATAAAAATATGGATTTTATAAAATTCATGATAGGCAAATATACTAAGTGACATATAAATCCGAACACCCAGTTTAAATGGTTTTATTTTAATGAAAGTTGGTGAATGTATTTATCTTACTGTAAATAACAAGTGAAAAAATTTTCAGCCTTATCAGTTGGACATTCCGGTTTTTATATTGCTTTTTTTTAATTCACTAACGCTCTAAAAATGAATATTTCAGCCGCAGTAAAGAATCAACGTTGGCGGATTTTGGTTCTTGACATTCTTTACGATCGGTTACGATGCCTAGAGTACGGAGACCTGTACGATTTCGTCAACTTAGTGAGTTTGATAGGGGCCGTATAGTGGGACTTCGGGAAGCTGGACTTTCTTTTCGGGCAATTGCAGTTAGAGTGCAAAGAAGTGTAGACACTGTGGTTAGGTGTTGTCAGGCATGGATCCGAGAAGGCCGTACGCAAAGAGCAAGGGGCACTGGACGCCGCCGTAGAACAACAGACCGTGAAGATCGCCGCCGTAGAACAACAGACCGTGAAGATCGCCGCCTAAGATTATTGGCCTTAAGGCACCGTTTCTCCACTACCAGGTCCATTGCAAATGAATGGATTGCAGAACACGGAAGACCTATTGGCATGCGATGTGTTTACCGACGAATGAGAAGTTTTGGCTTGTTTTCATACCGGCCACACTGGGTCCTCCCTTCAACTCGAGAACACCGACGTAATCGCCTTGAGTGGTGCAGACAACGGTCACTCTGGAATCAGGAATGGAACAGTATTGTCTTTAGTGGCGAGTCTCGATTTTGGCATGCACGATGGTCGTGCCAGGGTTAGAACGGGACGTGGTGAAAGGAGGAATCCACAGTTTTTTGTTGAAAGACATGTTCATCACACTGTTGAAGTTATGGTTTGGGATGCTATAGCTTATGATTCCAGGTCACCTTTAATCTTCATCAGAGGTAACATGAACGCGCAGCATTATATCCACGAAGCTCTAGAACCCCATCTTTTACCCTATCTTGACACCCTGGCAGATCCAACTTTCCAACAAGATAATGCCCGACCACATGTTGCAAGAGTCACAATAGACTTCTTTCAACATAATGATGTCACATTGTTACCATGGCCACCAAGATCTCCCGACTTATCCCCAATTGAACACGTGTGTGATATGATGGGTAGGAGATTGCTCAATTTGCAACGTCCTCCTCAGACTCTAGAAGCACTTCGAGAGGAGTTGGTGGTTGCCTGGAATGAGATACCACAGGAGGACATTGACCACCTGATCAGAAGCATGCCTAGGCGCGTTGGAGAATGCGTAGCACATCAGGGTGCATCCACATATTATTAAAGGTCAAAGGGCTTTAAAGCAGTGCAATCATTTTGAAATTTTTATCATTTACTTATTATGCTTCATTAAGTACCATTTAAACTGGGTGTTCGGATTTATATGTCACTTAGTATAGATAGTAGATGTTATTATAGCTATAGTCACGAAACAAATAAGGATTACTGAATTTCTAAACCTTGCTCTTCCCCTAGAGAAAGTTAGATAAAAATAAGATCAGCAAATCAGTTTCAAAATGAGTGAAAGAGTAGAGTTGTGAATGTATCTAAACGCCTAATTTCAATAGGTAATTGTTGCAGATCCCGACCATTAGTAAACCGCCTACCTGAGTTGTGGCAAAACTCGGCAACTCCCCCAAAAAAAGTAAATCGTTATAAATGACGTAAGTGTTTATTTAAATATCTGAACTCACCTTTGTGAACAGCTGAATACGTGTCTTCATCTAAAACACACATAATCTTCTCGGGATTTGTACTACAAGGGTAATCATCTAAGTGTTCCTCAATTTTCCCATTCTTTATGGAACCTGTATCGCTTTGTATAGAAATATTATTGCTGAAGCTCATTTCCGTACTATCCTGTAAAAAATGTTAATCAAAGCTTATCGTACACCTTTATGTTGAATCACCTATGTGGGCTGAAAACATGAAAAAGCCTAGACCCTTTATATCGTCAGGTAAATTTACTTACAATTTTGGTCCTAAATAAAGGTATGATCGTTGTGTTATAGATACAGCTGTTCCTCTTAGTTTATGCCTTGGGTGGTGATTGTGTTTAATTTTTCAGTCGTTATTAATAAAGTTGGATTTAATTTTGGTCTTTTAAATATTGTTTTTAGAACCATTTTTTGAAAAATATCCAAATCATAAATCTGAGTTGAGCATGTAACTCCCCATGCCAATATACCGTAGGTTAAATGTGGCTCCATCAAGGTATAGAGATATTTTTCTTTTAAAATGTTTATGTTGTATTTAATTTTTACGACACATATCTTTTTCTAAAATCAATGACAATAATATCTACATCCCAACGCAAGTGTGGATCCAGGAATATTCCAAGGTATTTTATATCTGATGCTGTATTAGTTTCTAATTTGTGATTATTTACGATAAAGGGGATGTTTGTGTAATTTGGTAAATGTCTAGAATACGAAGAAAATGGTAAATTAAGTAAGACGGAAAACGAAAGTAAATATTTATCAACGGAAGGTGAAAAATACGAAAAAATATATTCATAAAACTGCAGAAACGATAGAATGCCTCATATTGGAAATAGTAGAATGCTTGAATTCTACTCGGTTTTTCTAAATAGTTGTGAACTGAACAGATTTGGAAGAAAACAATTAATTTGATATTCATAGTTTTTTTTGGGCCTGCTAAGCTTCCTCATTAGATTCTCGAAGCAATAAAACGAGAACGTAAAACTACTATTTATAACGTGAAAGTAAAGACCTAAGAACTCTTAGAATCAAAATTGAACTAAATAAGATTCAAAGTTAAAGTTTCAGTTAGACCGTTTCAGAATCCATCAAAAAATTTGATTTGTCGCCAACACTTTTCATTTATCAATGTCGTTGTTGGCCCTGTTGACAAACCAAAGATTCCTACTGAGCACTCAAAGAAAAAATAAGTAGACTGAAATAAATCAAAATCATCCCACAAATGTCCAGGTAAAAGCCCAACGTTGAGGTATTTGTCCTTTTGCAACGCCAATGACTATAATCGATCTGTTGATCGATTATTCTTTTTAATCGACTTTTTGCAATCCACAGAAATATTCACCATTTTCGATAGTTTTCTGAAACACTAGGACTATTTTCGCGGAAAACTACGAATTGTTTGTAAAATGTCAACAACTGTCAAACTCACGGCTTAAGACTTGCAGCATAAACTTTCATGCTGGTCTACAAATTTTGAGATTTTGGAGGCAAACAAATTATAGACTTGCTTCTTGTACCTAGTCTGAATTATTTGGGCACAACTCGAACTTCTGTAGTTCTTTTAAGAGACTTACGGTAAATGGTTTTTGATGAAATGCGATTTATAGTCAAATAATGGAATTCCCTGTAAATGTGAGGAATTGCTGTTAACTTAAACGGTAGCTAAGGCAAAACATGTTTTCGAGTATTCTTCCGAAGTTTTTCCATCTTGTTAATGGTGATTAAAAAAAGTTCACCTACATTGCTCAGATCAAGGTAAAGTCATTAAAAGATGCTCGTAGCCGGAATGGAAGTGAACTGGATAAAATTCGTATAACGCGAGTTTCAGCATTTACTCTCTTTTAATCAACAAGGTAGTCTTAAAAACTCTTGTATTTATGAAGACAATTCTTGGAGCAAAGTAGAGATTCATTATTTTAAAGGCACCCTACCATAGGTTCGTGTCATACGTTTCCATCAAATGGATTAATTTATGGTAGCGCGTCCACTGTATCTGTTGCAATCGAATAATCCATTTGTCGTTCTGTGTTCACTGAAGCATTCACTTCAAATACCACCTATAGTTTTCTTACGTTTTTTGACGGTTACGTCATTAATGCTATAGTATCTTCTAACAGAACCCTGTCCGGAGCTGAAACTGCCCAGCCCAGGAAAATTTCACATTGGGCAAACTTATCTAAAACGCAGTTGCTCTTGCACACATTAATTAGTTAATGAAAAACCATTGCTTTCATTCACTTTCTCAAAATACTACAATAATTATCAATATTGTCTGTTAGTTGTATTTTCTGCTGCTATGTTTTATATTACGACGAAGATGGTACGCCCATGTCAAGTGGGTTGTCATACTGACAGTGTCAAACGTATATTAGGAAAACTCATTCGTTGGCCAGAATTTCGATGCGGCGAGACGAAACTAGAGAACGTATGGCTGAGAGTACACAAACAAAAGTTAACGCGCAGAGGCACATTCACGAAGACTAGACATACGAGGTTAAACTGCGTAATGGGTGTATTCGTATGAAGCCAACCTGTCGCAAGGGATGATGTGGCTCTCGGAAATCTAATGGAGTAAAGCATCTGCGCGTTGAAAAATGTTAACACAACCTGCCGCAATCTTTAGGTGCATTTTGCCATGCTTTGTGGGTTTACTACTTCGTAGTTGATTAATATTATCCAATATTTCTGCGAACTATCAAAATTGGAGTTGTTTACAGTGATGATAGATACCATATGCCCAGAGCCTGAAATTTATTTTCGGCGCAGTATACACACTCCATCAGTTTAACCTCCTATCTCTAGTCTTCATGGGCAAATTGGATGGTGTATGTGTGAGGGAGATGGATTACAGGAGTTACTTTCATAGATTCATCTCACTCATACGTATACATATGCAATCGGCCGGTGCTGTTGCGTCTTGTAAAACATCCGATTTCACTGTTTTTTCTCATAAAACTTTTTCTGATAGATTATTTAGAAACAAAAAAGTGTGGATGAAGCACGCTTTTCATGAAAAAAGTTTCCCAAAACATTGTATTTTTAGCTGTTCTTTCCATCATTATTTCCACCGCCATCTATCTGCCATATGACGTAGACGTCTGTGCATATGTCATATATGAGAGGCACTTGCCTGCGGTGTTGCCGTATTGGGCTCCGCATTTCGGGAAAAATATGAAAAAATTAAAATTTTTATACATTTATATTAATTAATGAAACACAAAAACAAAAAACTGAAACAAACAACAGTAGTAAAATTAAAAGTGATTCTTACTAAGTATAAAACAAAAAATAACAAACAGCAGTAAAATAAAAAGCAATTCTAAGTGATTATAAAAACAAAAAATAAAAACAGTAGTAAAACAAAAAAAAAACAATTCCATGTTGAATAACAAGCAATTCTATGAATAACAAGCAATTCTAAGTGACAACACAAAACAAAAAGTAAAAACAGTAGTAAAGCGAAAAACAACTTCATTCCATCCAAATGGCTTTTTATTTTACTGTTTGTTATTTTTTTTTTAATTAAATATTAAATGGAAATGTTTTTTTGTTTTACTACTGTTTTAATTTTTGGTTTTTCATAATCTCTTAGAATTTCTTTTTATTTTACTGCTGTTTGTTATTTTTTGTTTTATACTTAGTAAGGATCACTTTTAATTTTACTACTGTTGTTTGTTTCAGTTTTTTGTTTTTGTGTTTCATTCATATAAATGTATATCAATTTTCCACTTTTCAGATTTTTTCCTAAACACGGAGCTCAATCCGGCAACACCGCAGGCAAGCGCCTCTCATATAATGACATATCCACAGACTTCAGCGTCATATGGCAGATAGACGGCGGTGGAAATAATGGTGGAATGAACAGCTAAAAATACAATGTTTTGAGGTTTTTTTTTCATGAAAAGCGTGCTTCATCCACACTTTTTGATGAAAAATAATTTATCAGACTACCCTCTATCAGTTTCAAGTGAAAAAACAGTGAAATCCGAAGATCTACAAGACGCAACAGTACCCTCTATACGCCGAGGTCTTTTTATAAATATATATATATATATATATATATATATATATATATATATATATATATATATATATATATATACCTTTTTATTATGTCTACCCGCCTTGAAATTTTCTCGTCAACGTTTGAGTCTTCCACATTTATACTTGTCCGTGTGAAAACTTGTTTGACATGGGCGTGCCAGCTTATCTTTTGCTGATCATCAATATAAAATTTAGCAATGTCTGAAGACACAACTACAATGTCCACAGTCGGAATTGAATTTTATGGTCTATTTTGGGAACGAAAACAACGGTTTTCTGTTACCATTTCGCTGAAGGAGGTGAAAACGACGATAAGTCAGAATTCTGTTAAAAGGGTCATTATACCGAAAGTATATGGGTCTATCTTTGTGAGTGTAAATAATAGTAACAGAGGGATAATATTTCAGCAATTATACCACTGGATAGTAGAGGGTCTCACGCTAACAGAAACAAGATATCCGACGAAGACAAACATTCTCGTAAAGCCAAAGAACAAATTATTCATTCCTGCGTATGAGAGTCATTACACATTTTTTATAAACGTCATCTGTGGACTTACAATCTCACAGTTCATGCCTGCGTTGATTCTCAAGCGTCTTGTTACCTGTGGTTTGAACCGCTGGCGAAGAGGGGTGGAAATGAGATAGATTCATGCCTTTTTCAATACTTAACAAAGAATCTCAATACTTCAGTTTCTCACATCGTTATGTACTCTGATTCTGCCCGAATAAGAACAACGATATTTCTGCTGCTTGTCTAACTGCAATGGAAAATTTTCTAAATTGAGCATAAGTATTCTCAAATGAACAATTTAATTGACACATTTCTTTAGATTGAGTTTTCTCGAAATATGGTATTTTGACCTTACACCGTTATCATCCCCACCATCGAATTTGTGTGTATACAAGAGCGAGTAGCGGCTGCATTAACGATCGGCTTGTGTAGTGTGCAATTCTTCTTAGGGAAGCTAAGATCCACTAAGGGTTCAGTTAGTGAAATTGTGATATAACTGCCAAAAACCATGAAAGAATCTGTCAAGTCACATTTTTCCAAATTCCTTTTTGATGTTAAAGCTTTCTTATGGAGCCTGTGAAGGGTCAATATTTTTGTTGCAATATTTGGCGAGTACAGCCCAGTCATCATGAACAAAAAATGGTACATTAATACAGCGATATCGGAGTCATATTATTTCAATTTACGGTGAGTGTCTTCGAAATGTTACAGAAGCTTGGCGAGTGCATACAGATCGTTTTTCAAGATCCTTCGTGTGGGGCGAAAAGAAATTTTTATTTTATAAAACTGAAGTGAACACGGTTGACAAACTACGTCTTCTAATTTAGCAATATGATGTATTTATTCGGGAAAGGGAGTCCCTTCTAAGCCTATCGCGGACAACTTTGAATAATACTTACAAGTGACAAAGCTGTACTTGAAATTTCTTTTCGATGAACTGTGATTACTTTTTTTTATACATTTTCCCTTGCACATTAGCTTTGCAAACTACAAAGTCCCAACTTTCAAGGCAATATTGTCTGAAGCTACTGAATCAGGCACAAATAGTCGACGAAAATGTATGCGTCGCGGCATCTTACATTACTTAGATTACATTACATTTAGGATTCCGATAGATCCGCAATATAAGAAAGCAGTTCGGAAAAGAAACCTGTACTGATATACCTGGGCCATACTAAAAGTATTGCCATATGTAGCTGGCACCTCTATTGCAGCTAAATAATGCAGAAAAGTATTTCCCGTTTAGATGATCTTTTAAAAGTAGATGCTTATTTTAGGCATCCAGGGTAGTTTAGTTAATTCATTCCTTCTCCTTAAAATAGTACCACGTAATACACGTTCATTGTAAAAACAACATACAGGGTTTGTCCGGAAAGTAATAGGATTGAGTCGATTTAAAAAAAATTATTGAGCCAATCGTTACAATTCTTTAAAAAGTTTCAAAATAGGCTCCTTCTGCGTCGATGCAGCGCTGCCAGCGCGATTTCGAAGCATTGAAGGCGTCACGGAAGGCATTCTCCGGAACACAGCCTTGAGAGCCGCGGTGCATGCTGCTTGGATCCCGTCTGTAGTCTCAAAATGCTTGCCTTTCATCGGCCTTTTCAGTCGAGGAAACAAAAAAAAATTCGGGGGGCCACATCTGGGCTGTAGGGCGGCTGCGGAAGCGTTGGGATGCCGGCCTTGGTCAGGTAGCTGTTCACAAGAAAGGCGGTGTGAGCCGGGACGTTGTCGTGGTGCAACTTCCAGTCGGCTGCGATGTCTAGTTGGACCCGACTGACCCTTCGTTTGAGTCTCCTGAGCACTTCCACGTAAAACTTGGCGTTGACGGTTTGTCCAGGAGGAACAAATTCAGGGTGGACGATGCCTTTGATGTCAAAAAAGCCAATGAGCATCGGTTTCACTTTGGATTTGCTCATTCTTCTCTTTTTTTGGCGAGGAGACGCCGTCGTGTGCCTCTCGGAAGATTGCCTCTTTGTCTCGGGATCATACTCAAAGATCCACGACTCGTCACCTGTGATTACGTTATTCAAAAGTTGGGGGTCACTTTCACACATGTTCAAATTTTCTTGGCACACTTCCACTCGCCGCAATTGCTGGTCGTCAGTGAGCACTTTTGGGACCATCTTCGCGCACACCTTGCGCATGTTCAAATGCTGTGTCACAATGTCATCAACCACAGATTTTGGTAAATTTAACATCTTGGCAATTAAACGAATACTTAGTCGACGGTCTGAGTTCAAAACTTTGTGCACACGAGTCACATTATCGGAGTTTGTCAAAGTCGAAGGTCTTCCAGCACGGTCTTCATCAGCGACCTCTTCCCGGCCCTCCAAAAAGGCCTGGTACCACCGAAACACACCACTTCTTCCTAAATCAATACCTGGGTAAGCCTGCTTGATCATATCAAACGTCTCTGTCGCAGATTTACCGAGTTTCACACAGAATTTAATCGCGTACCTCTGCTCTAACGAACGCTGCATTTTCGGCTTGCACCACTCACAGAAACACGTCGCGCGAAAATGCCTGTCCTGACTCTCCAAGTGCTCGGAGACAACTGACCAGCCGCTCATTCCTTAGCTAGGAACGCCCTCTACCGAATCCAGTCGGTGCGCGTACGCTCCAAAGTACAGTCGTGGCGGAAGAAAATGAGTCCTATTACTTTCTGGACATACCCTGTAAGTCAAATGTTTGCATGCACTAAACAGATGGTGCCGTCAGGTTCTTGAATGGGTCATTTCAAAAGCAGTATCAGGATTTTAATTTGTTTTCAGGGACGAATATCACCCTGTCTGCTTCGCCCGAAATCACTTATTTGAGAATTTTCTTGTTTTCTACCAAAATCATTGAATCGCTCCTCATTTGAATTACTAAGCCCTTTAAGTATACGCTGAATATTTAAGACAAAAGATACACTTTGCTGTCTGGAAGTTAGATTAGCACGTGGATTCTTCAACGATCGATTGCCTATTGAAGAAGACTCAATTAATAAGGCTCTGTATTTTTTCACGAGGTTTTGGATGTAAATCGGGAAACTCAATTTTTCCCAGGTGTTCGCTTTGTTTCAGTTTCCATAATAGACCTTAAAGATATTAAAACATGGAAGACTAAAATATGTTACATGTTAATAAATCGTTATTCAAGGATAAATTTCAATAATAAGCAATATAACATTATGGTTAATATGATTCTTATATACCCTATTTCTGGCTAAACAAAGTTAGTCAAGAACTATTGATAGGTATTAAGGTAATTAGACATTTCACTCTTTTGGAGCTCACAAACCGCAAAAGGTCTTCACCAGGTTTTTGAAATGACCGATTGGATTTTACAGAAATCCTTTGCGGATGATGCATACGGATCAGTGGACGCGTACCTTAAACGAATATATACCGTATCTCAACAGAAGTATTGTTCACTGCTTCTATCATTTACCTTTACGTATACAAATAATGTATGAATAGGCAACTTCTCGGGCTTAAATTTTTTTTACGATTACGGTGTCAAGAAGTGTACGATAAATTGCTCTTGCATTCTGTGGTGCTACGTACATGTTTTAGAATCCTCGGATGCCTTGGTGAGCAAGGAGGTGTGAAAGAAACATCCTTTTTGATTTGCTTGTTGGCGTCAATTATGGAAAACGCTATGGAAGAGAAATGCGGTCGCCTTCTCCTTTCGGTAGACACCTTCCGAACTGCGTTGGTCCATAGTTCTCTCGTGTGCAGCGGTTTTTCTCTGCCCCTGTAACAAATGAAAACTCCAATAGAATTTTTATTGAATTAGAATCATATTAATAAATCCGATTTTTTAACTGCACAATGTTAGTAGAACTGAAAGCCTCCTCGGGCAGATTGTTCAACAATCTTGTCACCTGAGGTACAAAGGAACAGTCGTACCGGCCACTTCTGGATATATGAAGTTCGACACGGATCGAATAGGAGGCTGAAGTCAGGCGAGTCTGTCTGGCAGGCTCATCGTGAGGCGGCATCATGGAGCTTTGGGGAGCAAATGGGTAGAACAGCAACGAGCATGATAATGTATTCGGGGAGGCAGCACCCCACTCATGTGAGCAGCACTGCTTTTGTGCTAGATCAAGTTTCCGGTGTTCTGGATTCCGACTAGCCTAACTAAACAGATTATTGGTAAAACTAGGCCATCCGTCGAAAATGCATGACCGTTATGGCGCTTCTTGTTAGTAATGGGTAAAGTTACTGTGTTTTGGAAATATTGAACAGTCCCCAAACAGTGATAAAATTATTTTTGCGAAAATTATTTTACTCACTAGAAATGATTCGAGGATAGTTGAAATCGATAAAAAAACAGCCCCTTAATAATAATTAGCTCAAATGAATATGCAAACAATTATGGAAAAACATTAAACAGTAGTAACACTGATAAACACAGGATTTGTGACATGACAATTTTTGGGTGTATCTTATTTATTTTGAGACCCTTAAAGCAAATCTAAAAACAGAATTTTTCAATCACCCACAGATATTCGGTAACATCTACTTTTATGAATTACAATACGTAACATCTCATATTGCTGCATTTCTCGGCGTTTATGCGATGACGCACATATATAATGTTAAGACCTGTCTATTCCTGTTTATGCGAGCTCTACGAGCCCCTTCCCACTTTAGTTGGCCCAACTATTGAAATCTTAGTTATTTTCTTATCAAACACAAATAATAAAAATGTAGCAGGGTGTTCTGGTTTAAAATATAACAATGAATATTTTGATAATATATAGTAGAAAACACCAACTTTATCATTCCCTAATCAAATTTGAGGCATAAAAATAACACATGTTGCAATTACAGCATATCAGCCTATCTTCATTTCAATGCAAAATATGTCTATAACGCATAGGTGGCTATGAAAAATAAAAGCCATGACAATTGTTTTTATTAATCACAGCTGTCAGAATACGTTTAAAATAGTTTTGGGTACTTAAGGTTTTTAAAATGGGTAGAGGACAGGTTATTAGTGGGAAAATTCGGTTACTGATAATTAAATTTTTTAATTCTGGGAAATCAAACTCAGAAATTGCAACTTTGTTAGACTTATCGCGGTACAGTGTGAGTAATATTGTTAGAAGATATAACGTAACTGGTTCAGTTAATATTAAGCCACGATATGTGAAAAAAAGTAATATCACATATGCCGACCGAAGAGCATTAAGAAGAATAATCGTGAAAAACAGGCGTGCCAATTATTGACAATTAAGTGCTCTGTGGAGTGACGCTGTTGGAAGGAGAATTTCGAGGTCCACAACTCATAGAAAGGCCCACAAACTGGGATTTAGCACTTGCAAGGTAAGTTATCTTATAAAAAAAGTGAAGTAAAAACCCTAAAGTTGCACAACTTGTTTATAGGCCAAAGAAAAGCCACTATTAACTCCACTGCAAAAGAAAAATCGGCTTAGATGTGCTAAAGAACATAGACAATGGACACTTCAACAATGGTGTGCAATACAATAGAGTGATGAGGCCCGATTCGAAGTTTGTGTTGGTGACAGTTGCAGTAGAGTTATTCGCAAAAAAAAATGAAGCATTCCAGATTGACTGTCTGAAGAGAAAAGTGAAATTTGGATACAAACAAATATTTGGCAATTTTAGAAGAATCGCTTTTACCAGTGATGGAAGAATGTTTGACATTCGGCCAGGATTTTGTGTTTCAGCACGATGGTGCAGCGTGCCATACCTCAAAAAAGGCTATAAAATGGATGGAAGAAAAAATGTACCACTTTTGAAATGGGTTTCTAGCAGTCCAGATCTGTCACCCATTGAAACTTTGTGGCACGAGATGAAAAAGGTTCTGCGACAACATCCTGCTCGTACAATCACCGAACTGAGACAAAAGCTTCAAAAAATATGGGATTGTTTTAGACCAAATTTTTGCCAAAACTTGGTTAACACCTAAAGAATTTCAGCCGTAATAAAAAATAAAGGTGATGTTACCCAATGGTAATTGTTGCTTTGTTAACGTCGCGCATTTATTCGCACATTGTTTATTTGTTCAGCTGTTCTATTAGTTATAGGTTTAAGTGATTTCAAATAAGTATTTTTTACGACTGGAGTGTATCTAACATGTTTTTGAGAAAATATTTTGGTACAAATCTTGAAGTGGGCCAACTGAAGTGGGAAGGGGCTCGTATGTTTAGAGAGCATATTGCGTTTATTTATACCTAGACTAATAGCAGCCGAGTCAGTTACGTTTTCTGTGTTGAACAGTACTGAGATGTTCTGAGTACTGTTAATTTTTGTTAAAACGGTGTGTTATTTTTAGTTTATTGTGACCAAGACTAGCTTTATGGACAATGCCTAGAAATTGTGTATATATTGCGAACAGTTTTTGTTAACGTACTTTTACTTCCCTTGTGTTGAAAGCATACGAACTTTATTTTGGAATTAAAGTTGGCGACCAAGATAAACCATGGGCCGCTCATATATGTTATATTGTAAGACTCGTGTAACGTTGTTAACAGGTTGGTTAAGATGCGACAATCGTAAAATGCCCTTTGTGGTTCCAATGGTTTGGAGAGAACCGGGAGACCATACTACTAATTGCTATTTTTGCCTCACAAATATTAAAGATATTGGACCAAAATCGAAACATACTGTTAAGTATTTTAATTTACCGTCAGCTTTGCGGCCCGTTAAGCATAATGATGAACTTTCTGCCTCAGTTCCACCAGAATCTTGGTCCTTGGATGAAATAGTCGAAACCACCGATTCTGAAAGTGATGGTACAGGGCGAACTTAATGACTTAGTTCGAGAATTATATCTGTTAAAATCCCAGTCAGAACTTTTAGCGGCAAGATTAAAAGGATGGAATCTTCTCCGCGGTGATGTTAACATTACTTTTTACCGAAAACGGCAACAAGACCTCACACACTGTCTCCGTCAAGAAAGGGAGTTGATATATTGCTCCGATGTTAACAATTTATTTGGCCCGTTAGGACAGAAACATTATCCAAATGATTGGCGCCTGTTCATTGATTCTTCTAAGCTTAGTTTAAAAGCGGTATTGGTACACAACGGTAATAAATATCCATCTGCACCTATAGCGCAAACAGTTCATATGAAGGAATTATATGAAAATATGCGAGTTCTGTTAGAGCATATCCGTTATAATGAATATGTAACAGATTTAAAAGTAATAGCCCTTCTTCTTGGAATGCAACTGGAATATACCAAATATTATTGTTTTCTTTGTGAATGGGACAGTCGTGCGCGAGATCGTCATTATCAACAGAAGGAGTGCTTATGAACCACTAGTTGATCCCAAAACCGTGCTGCTTCCACCTTTGCATATTATGTTGGGACTGATGAAAAATTGTGTGAAATCTATGGATCGAAATGGAAGATGGTTTCTGCATTCAAAACAAGCATTTCCGAGACTTAGTAAGGCAAAAATGAAAGAGGGCGTATTTGTGGGTCCACAAATACGGAAAATCATGAAGGATGATGTATCTGACAGTGCTCTAAATGAAACTGAATTACGAGCTTGGAATGCTTTTAAATCAGTTTCTGCAAATTTTTTATGCAATGTGAAGGCGGACAATTATGAAGATATTGTGAGTAAACCAGTTAATGCGTATAAAGGAATGGGATCTAACTTGTCTCTAAAAATTCACTTTTTGGATTCTCATCTCGTTTTTTTTTTCGAAAAATTTAGGTGCGGTAAGTGATGAACATGGTGCACGGTTCCACAAAGACATTTTTGCTTGGAAAAACGGTATCAGGGCAAATAGAGTGTTAATTTGCTTGCTGATTATTGCTGGACATTGTTAAGAGATACTTCAGGAGCAACATATCGCCGTAAAACATCGACAACAACATTCTGTGATTAATGTTTATTCGAGTGTTTATTAGTACTCTTACACAAATATCCTTATATTTTACGAGTATAAGCAACAAATAAAATGCCTTATTCCAAGAAAGCCGTGGGTGATAGAAAAAATGTAATGCTATTTCCGGCTTTTTGGGTAGGTTTTACATAATAAACACCTTGTTTTGTCCATGTCACAAAAAATTGTTTTAATTTTGTTCACCAGTGTAATTAACGAAATTTGTGTGAAGAAACGTCTGTAGTACTCCATTTCTAAAAATCTAAATCAAACCAATTGGTCATTATCAAATTTTCCTCTGAGAAACGGCAATTATTGGCTTTCACTTAGCAGTATTGAACGAATGATGAGCTTAGACTTAAAGCCCAAGGTCTGGAAAATGGAATCTCTTTATGGTGAGCAGAACTTTGGTGACGTCTGGGTTTTGCTTTCCAGTTATTCTTGAGGACGACATTGCTAATTACATAACTTGAAAATAATTTCGTTGTATATAGGTAAAAGTCGGTAATCGAATTTTCCGACTGAAATGATCTGTCCTTCAATAAAACTTCCCCCGCAAGCAAGACTGCGCCTCCAAAAAAGCAGATTCGATTGAATGAAGGCACCGAACTGCGAAAGAAGTTCCACGACAGACATAGAGACAAATTTCATTAGGACGGAGAACTGAATCCCCTGCGTACAATATAGACCGACGGTCTTTGACTGAATCATTCGTTAAGTGAAACTTCGTTGAATGCCTTTGCGACCTGCCATGTTCTGACAAAGTTTCGCCCTAAGTGGATTATTTAGCTTCTCTTTTTGTCTAAATTGGTTGGACAAATAGTACGAGAAGTCTATTGGCTGAGTGCGCATGATACCGTCAGATAGCGGGTGCTGGACTGAAAT